GAAATGCGCTGGTCTCAGTTTGGGAACAATGCCAGTTTGAAAAAGCTCGATTCAAAGAAGACACTTATATACATATATATGTATATATATATATATATATATATATATATAGAAAGAGAGAGAGAGAGAGAGAGACAAAGAAAGAGAGAAAGAGAATTTATATTCACATAGACAGAGAGAGAGAGAAAGAGAGAGAGATTTTATATTCACATAAAGGAAGAAAGAGAAAAAAGATGTGATAATATAAAACAATATATAAATAATGTATATATATATATGTATATATATATATATATATATATATATATATATATATATAAAGAGACTAAATTTGAGATAGAGAAAAATAGAGAGAGAGGAATAAACAGATGTATATATATATATATAGATGTGTATATATATATATATATATGTATATATATATATATATATATAAAGTAAAAGAGAGAGAGAGAAACAAGGGGTATGCGTAAAAAATAACGTTTCCATAAATGGATAAAAATATATACAATACACATACACGCACACACAAACAAACAAACAAACTCACACACACATACACACACATACCCACACACACACACACACACATATATATATATATATATATATATACAACGCTTGTATTAAAAGAAGAATGCAAGCTTTTGAAATGCATAATGAGAACAACTATTTTTATTTCGTTGTTGTTGTTGTTGTAATTATTATTATATTGTTGTTGTTGTTCGTTGATGATGGTTGTGATGATGATGATCGTCATCATAGTTAACAAGATTAACAGTATGACATACTTAAAATACATTGACAGAAATGACATGAATGTTTATTGTACTGCGTATATATGATGGTAGTATGTATGTATGCGTGTATGCATGTATGTTTGTTTGTACGTATGTGTGTCTGTGTCTCTTTATGTGTACATGTTTGTATTCGAGATTTTAGTAAGAAAAGAAAAACACAACAGCTGCTTTATTTGACATCATCAAAAGATGAAGTGACGAAAAATTAAAATTTTTTAAATGTCAATTTTTTAAAAAGTTCAGATTTTAAACAAACAAATATAACAAAATATCGATCGATAAAAAATAATTATCACGAAACATGAATATTTAGTAAGGACAGTTGACAGCATATCATAATGACTAAATCAACATACCAAACAGAAATTATTCATGCATGCATATATACAAAGTAAATCAGGAAATATCCAAAAGTTATATAACCAAAATAAGAAACTAGAAACCAGTCAACATTTTACAAATAAATAAATAGACATTATTAAAAAGATTGTTCAAAAATGGTAAAATTTAAGGCGACGACAAAAAAAATTGTAGTTTGTTTTGTTGGTGTTGTGTGGTGCTAAGAAACGAAAACAAACACACCACAAAAAAAAATATTAAAAAGTCGCAAGAATAGTAGTCAGTCACCTACCTACAATTAAATTACTCTCAGGGCCCTATCTTATCTGTAATGATAACTCAACTCATTTATTTTACATATTTTAACGTTTTAATTTTACTTGAAGCTTTTAATTTATGTTAATGTTAATATTTTACTTGAAACTTTTTAGCTAATGTTAAGCCCTAGCCTACCTACAGTTGTTCAACTCATCTCAATCCCTAACTTACCTATGAATTAAATTAAGTCCGGTAAAGAAATTAGAAAGTTGAAGAGAAACATAACAACAACGACACCGAATGAATGGATGTTGTGTATGTGTGTGTTGTATTTATATGTGTGCGTGTATGTAATCGCGCGCGTACCCTCCAGAAACTTCTTCACCCACTACGGACGAACCTCCATTGCACCGACCATCATCTGACACGCACCGAGGACATGAATTTTACCGGATACTGAAAAACAAAATTGAAAGAAAAAGTTAATTTTTTAAAATAAAAAACAAGCCATTGGAAAAAAGTAAGAAGCAACTTATCTTACCATGAGATTACCATCATGAAACGTGCTGACTCCCACCACAACCCACCTCTGATCATTCTGTAGACAAATTTTTTTTATTGGCTTAGTAGTAAATGAATGTTAAAACGAAAAAACAAACGAATAAATGATTGAGCAAATGATTGAGTGATTGAATGAATTAATTAACCAATCTATGATTCAATGAATGAATAGAATGAGTCAATTAATGGATGAATGAAAGATTGTGTGACAAAATGAATGAATGAAAAAAATAAAAACAACGAAACTAAACCATACTTCAAAAATCGTCGTTGATGTTTTCTTCGAGTTGTTATCGGAACGATCATCATGAGACCACCATCTGAAACGAGCTGACGCCCACCACTGCCCACCTCTCATCAGTCTGTAGACAAGTTATTTTTATTAGCTTAGTAGTAAATGAATGTTAGAATCTTAGAAGCAAAAAATTATAAAATGGAAATAATGGCAAATAAATAATATTTGAAAATGATAAAGAGAGTAAAATGTAAAAAAAACTTACCGTCGTCCATTCGACAAAGGCAAAATGATAAGTGTCTTCCGTTTCCTGCGTTGTCCTCCAAAACTGGTGCCAGTCCTCCTCGAGATTGTTGTTGAAGAATGGAGAGAAAATTCTCACTAGAAAGCTTAGCGGTGCCTGCATCTTAAATTGCTTAATAAAAATAATCCTATCTACCTATTCAATTACCTTAACTAATCTATAATAAATTGTTAATGGTACGATAGTCGAAAGTTCCCCTTCATTCTCCCTCCTTGCACAGAGGTTCACCGACAGCCAGGGCACCGGATAGTAAACCATTGCCGTGCGGATAGTAGACTACTGCCTTGCGGATAGTAAACCATTTGCCGTCCGGAAGCCGTGCGGGTAGTAGACTATGGCCATGCCGCATAGTAAATCATTACCGTGCAGATAGTAAACCATTGCCGTCCGGATAGTAAACCATTGCCGGTTCACCACTGGCCGCCAAGGCTTACCTCTGACAAGAGACTTCGAAATTCAGAGTCTATCGGCTATCGTACCCTCAACTTACCTATTCATTACAATTAAGCCCTAGCTTACCTAAAATTACAAAACTCAAGAGCCCAATTCATTGGCCTTTCGGCACCCACCCCACCACCTACGTAATGCCTTGGGCTCCAACTTAGTAATAATAATATAAAACTTAAACCCTAAATCTATTAATTAGTATGTGTTACAACGTAGCCTTAACCTACCTATTCATTACATTACGGTCCTAGCTTACCTAGAATTACAAAACTCAAGAGCCCAATTCATTGGCCTTTCGGCACCCACCCCACCACCTACGTAATGCCTTGGGCTCCAACTTAATAATGATAATGTAAAACTTAACAATTAACCTACCTATCGATACACTTACAGCGTTTTAATTTACATTACAACATTTTTCCTAGAATTACATTATTGCTCTTAACTACCTACGAAATTAAATTACTCTCAACCTTAGTAATAATAAATTAGAATGTGTAATGAAAATAAAATTACGCTCAAATACTAACATATGTGTTTATGTATGTATTTGTGTGTGTGTATGTAATACGCTGGTGCGTGTAATGTGGGTGCAAGATAAAATAGAAGAGATAAACTTACGCTGCCTACCTATTCAACTACATTAGTGTTGAATGCTTCCTATCTATCCTACCTACAATTAAAATTAGGCCTATCTAACCTACCTATATAGCTACTTAATGTAATTGTGTATGCGTGTGTGTGCGTGTGAGCATTCCTACTTAATGTTTAAATTACAGAAAAAAAGAAGAAAACGTATCCCAGTCAGGCAGGTATTCTTTGCCACTGAATGAACGAACGTAGCTTGACATCTTCCATGATGAACTCCTCTGGAAGCTTCAACCTGAATGAAATTAAAAAATCCTATTTAATTAATTAATTTTAATGAAAATAGAGAAACGAGCCGCAGTGAAATCCACCAGCCGGAAAAGCCAGCAAACTGGAAAAGAAACCGTTAAGAAACCGTAAAGTCGGAAGTTAGGGTTAAGGTTGAACGTAGGGTGACATCACAACCATTCTGATCCTCCACGACGAACTCCTCTGGAAGCTATAACCTGAATGAATGAACCTGAATGAACCTAGATGAATGGACAAATCTTATTTATTTAATTAATTTAAATGAAAATAGAGAAACACAAAGAAGCCGACCGGTCGGCAAAGAAAAGAACCGCAAAGAACGGTATCTATATAGGATTTATGCTCTATATAACTCTATATAACTCTATATAACTCTATATAACTCTATATAACTCTATATAACTCTATATAACTCTATATAACTCTATATAACTCTATATAACTCTATATAACTCTATATAACTCTATATAACTCTATATAACTCTATATAACTCTATATAACTCTATATAACTCTATATAACTCTATATAACTCTATATAACTCTATATAACTCTATATAACTCTATATAACTCTATATAACTCTATATAACTCTATATAACTCTATATAACTCTATATAACTCTATATAACTCTATATAACTCTATATAACCATGCATACTACCACATTCAATCAATAAAAATCCCACTAAAACCAGGAACTACCGCGTACCTGCTGAATGTACGATGTGAAACAAAACAAAAAAAAACACAAAACAAAAAAACACACCACGTAGAGTAAAAGAATAGAAGTCCCTAACCTACCTATGTGTCTAAATTACCTTATGCCCTAGCCTACCTATATAATAAATTAATCTCAATCTCACCTACCTATGTTTAATTAACTTAACTCAAGACTCATGAAGAAAGAGAAAAAGGAGTAAAACAGAACATAAAATTCTACCACACAAACAAACATGATGTATGTATGTATGTATTAGCAACCGCTAAAGAACCCACCTAAAATAATTAAAAAAAAGCAACAAAATACAAACATACTAACCACAGACAAACATATATAGCCGCGCAACTCTACATAACTCTATATAACTCTATATAACTCTATATAACTCTATATAACTCTATATAACTCTATATAACTCTATATAACTCTATATAACTCTATATAAAATAAAATTAAATAAAAATAAATAAATAAATTAAAAAAATATAAATATAAAAAAATGAGATCAGGCACTCCGACTCGAGCGAGGCAGAAATGCCTGATCTAATTTCAACGTTTTTTCAGCTCCTATTTATACTCGTTTCAACCATACATTTTCATCATTTCAATCATTCACATCAGTAAAAAACTTATTTAATTTATGTAGTACGCTATTATACAGCCTTAACCACAATGCTAACCGTACTAAATTGACTGACGCCAACGAACGAACGCCTTCGAAACTTTCTGATTGGCTGGTTGAATTTGCTATATCGCTTTTCATATAAACACATATTCTTATTTATTATTTGAATACATGGATTCTAGTTACTTGATATATATATATATATATATATATATATATATATATATATATATGTACATATAATATAAATTTATTATAAAAGCAACAGTATTCAGTGCTACATATGTACGTACGCAGTTCAAATTTTTCGGGGAGAATTCAAAATAGTTTGAGACCACACCTTGCTTAACATCCAATTCCAAGTCGAGTCAAGCCAAGCTGAGCCAATAAACGTAGATTTATAAGCGTTTTTATATTAAAATTTTACTAGCTTTATATACGAATATTCCCAATATTGATATCAAAGAAATAACGCAAATGAGTTTAAAAAATATTTTATTCAAAATTTAATTAAAATAGAACATATCCACAAGTTTTATTTGCCACGTAATTCCATCCAACCATTTAAACACACACACACTTCAATTGAACTATTTCGCAATCTATTTTTTTATGCATATCAGTTTTTCAGATTTTGAAAAAGCTTATTCTCTTGGTTTAGAAGTTGAAGGGATGGGCTCAAGCCACGGCTTGAGCCAATCAAGCTTAATTAATCAGGCTCGGAAAATTTCCAAGCCAAGCCAAGCCGTTCGGCTTCAAACTTCAAGCCGAGGCGAATCGGTTCCATCGGCTTGGCTCGTCTCGGCTTGGACTTAACATCATTACACTTTGATACAGTTAAATAATTACTGTTAAAATGACGTCATTTCCAGCAAAGATTATAAAAAGAATAAATTATCCAATTTCAATAATTTTTATGTCAGTATTTAGCGAAATGATCATTTTAATAAACTCAAACAAATATGTTTGTTACGTTAATTAAAAAAGTCAGAGTCAGACAGCCAGTCAGTCAGTAATCTATCCATTTCTTTATTTAGTCTAGTGTGCATATAATGTAAAGTTTTTTTTAATAGGAATTGAATACAACCTTTATACCGGCTAATTCACTACCTTATAGTTAAATTACTACTGTTAACGTCATTTCCTCCAACGATTTCATTAAAAATTACCCATTCCATTTAAAATTTTTTTTTAATGTTTTTTAATCAGTCAGGTCACAATCACCATCATCGATATCGCATTGAAATCAAATTGAGAAGTTTTTAAAAGTGTTGACAAAAGTATCTTTATTCATTTTATGATGCTATCCTGTTGAGTAACCTTTTTCGACTGTTTCAGATCAATTTCTACGTTTCCTGTATCACATTATATAGTCTCAAAGAATCCCAATTAAGTTACATATAAAATTACACTACTACATTCTTGTTGATTAGACAATGCAATATAAATACCATAATAGAATTTAATTTGTAGATTTAACGTTATGTTGTTTTCAGATTAAAACTTGATGCACCAAACTAAATTTATGTCGGGATTTCCATTTTCAAATTAAACAATTTTTTTCATGCTTAGAGGATTGGCTACTAATGAATCTAATAAAATTAACTATCAGGCTAATTCATTGTAATCAACGCCACATTAAAAGAATCGAACTATAGTCTATAGTGGCTGTTCAGTTTTACATAATGATAATATTCGGCCGATTCAAATTACTAAGTCGGATTTCCGCGGCGATACTCGAATTTATTCGTTTTGAGAAAAATTTCATGTATGTATAGAGTAGATAAAGCCCTGTGCAGTTATAAATATTCAAATCGCCCGCAAGGGTTACGAACTGCAAACCGCCCACGGTTAAACCGCACATCCGCAGTTCAACACTAAACTAATTGAATTAAAATAAACTAACTAAATTAAAATAAACTAATTCCCATCTACACTAAACTAATTAAATTTTATTAATATTAATAATATACATAGACTAACATACATGTAAACTGAAAAGCAACCGCAAATAACCGCGGTTTAAATGCTACACTACAGGGCTCTATAGTATTCAACTGCATTTTATACACGGAATAATATTGTTAGAGAAATGTATGTTAAAAATTGCCAAACAAAAAAGCACATGCACACACACACACGCACACACATGTATGCAATTAAATACACACACACATACACACACACACACACACACACGTACATTTTTGTCACGCAAGTCTTGTTCTCACCGCAACAATGAAACAAAAGATTAGCGAAACTGAGTGAGTGAAAAAAAAATGAATAAATGAGTGACTGAATGAATGAATGAACAAACGAATGATGAATGAATGTATGAATGAGTTAATGAATGAATGCATACTTGAATAAGCGAGTGACTCAATGAATGAATACATTGGTAAATAATTGAATGAATAAATGAATGATTGGATAAATTAATGAATGAGTGAATATTGATTAAATGAGTAAAAAATAGTAGGAAGAAATAAATAAACGAATGAATGCATGAATGGACGAATGAATGAATGGACGAATGAATGAATAAATCAATGAATGAAAAATGAATGAGATATAAAATTCTTAAATAAATGTTTACATGGTTTGAATGAGTGAATGAAAAAAATACAACAATAAATTAAGCAAACTCTATAATTATAGATAACTTGAACAAAAGGTATTAAAAATAAAATAATTGAATGAATGATGAATGAATGGATGGATGAATGAATGAATGCAAGAATGGATAAAGAAATGAAAATGTGAATGACACAGAAGAACGAGTATAAATTAACTTGAGCTTTCATTTCATTAATGATTAAATTAATTATAAAAATGATTAAAATAAGAATAAATTGATGAATGAATGGATGAATGAATAAATGAATGAAGGAAGGAAAGAAGGAATGAAAAAATGAATAAATGAAAAAAGCGAACGAATGAAGGATAAACGAATGAAATATTGAATGAATTCGGTAATTGTCTAATTGATTGCAAAATTAATGAGCGACAAAACGAACGAGTAGATGAATGAATAAATGATTGAACGAATAAAATAACGAATGAGTGAATGAATGATTGAATGAGTAAAAAAAATGAATGAACATTGCTTGCATAAATTTAGCATGGGATGAGATAATTGTCGGCCTTTACAATGAAAAAAAAATTCTTAAGTAAAATCTCAGACATAATATTCGCTATGTGAAATTCATCGTCGTCATCATCAACATTGCCATCATCATCATCAACATCGTCGTCGTCATCGTCATCCTAATCAATTCTGTAAGTGTCATTAGCGCTTTTTTGTAACAAAGGAAAATATATCTTCATCTTCGTCATCATCCTGCCCATTATTATTGCCATTGATTTCATTATCATTAATTCAATTTTATACTCTGACGATGATGATGACGACGATAAGGTCGATAAGGTTTGAGCGTCTGATATGACAAACTAAACTTGACACAGCGTGTTTTTAGGGAATTTTTTTATAAGCTGTCGATAAGGTTTGAGCATCAGACATAACACAAAAAACTAACTTGTGACAACCTGTTTTTTATGAAATTTATTACAATCCGTCAGTAAGTTTATAAGGTTTGAGCGTCAGATTTGACAAACTAAACCCGTAACTAAGCGTGTTTTTTAGGGAATTAATTATAAGCTGTCGGTAGATCGATAAGGCTTGAGCGTCAGTTATGACACAAAAACTTGTGACTTGTTGCTTTTTTCTACGTCATACATGTGCGTGTTTGGATTTTCGGCCATGAGCAACATCAAACGAGAATGTCTTTTATCTGTCGAAGAAGAACTTCCCGTCTGTTTATCCAAAACTCAGCCAAGAATACGGCTGCTGTGCAGAAAGCGCCAAGCACAATGTTCACAATGAACATTTCTCCGTACTCGACTGTAAGACTTGTCAATACTGATGATTAATGGTAGCTAGCATAATCAGTGATCTGTATTTTTGTGCAAACCCATGATTAGTTGACTAGTTTCCTGAAGTGTACGAGGAAAAACTTGCAGTTATGAAATGTACTATAGCAGAGTGTTGACTTTTTGAAATCAAAATGATTACCAACAGTCCAACTCACCTAGGTGCATTTTTAGATTGAAAAAATTGGCTGCTCGCTTTGAAGGAGCATAAACGGTACCGGTACAGGTTTCGCCAGAATTCGGACGACACCAAAGGGTCCCCCTAAAGAAAAAAGGTTGAAAAACACTGCTTTAAACAGATGGTCTTCTCTTTTAACACAATTTCTCCGCGCGCATAATATATAAGTCGGTCGTTGTCCGGGAGCTAAGTTCAGTTTCGTTGGTGATCTTTGGTCTTGTTGATTTTCTCAGTTGTTTCGAATTCAAAAAATTAAAATTTTTACACTTAATGAATGTCTTTTAAGAAAATATCATCATTTTTTAATTTATTGTAAATTAATTACATTAAAAACTTTGAATAAATTTAAAAAATCCGAAGTTAGTGTAGATTACTAATAATTGTCTTTCTTGCTTGTTGCAACCAACGCTAGCTAAGCTAAGACTATGGCCGATGAATTAATAATGTTAGACATCAAGATTCTGCCTTGTGCCTTCATTAAAGAGATTTTCTTAAATGCCTGGAGAGTCATGATTGAAGGAGTGGAGAAGAAGGAAGGAAAATTAGTGATGGGATTTAAAGTTAGTTTCTCTCTCCTGTCTTATCTTTTACCTATTTTTTATTTCTCAAAGATTTTCTCCAAAATTTTCATTCATTAATTTTTATGCAATTTGTTATTTTAAAATCTAACATTGAATTTTTTAGGTTGTTGGAGAGAATAGATTTTTAGCATGTAAGAAAAATTTTGTTAATTTTTTAAAAACTTTATTATGCTCACAAATACACTTATAATGCACTATAATGCAATATAACTACAAAAATGTTAATTTGCCATCGTCTCAGTGTTCCACAATGGATCGGACTCAGCATTGAAGCACCTAAATGCTGCCTATGGAAATCATTTCCTCGTGACGAGTATGAGGTTTCGACAGTTTGAAACATTTGCGAAACACGTCTTAGGCTACGATACATCCAGCAGGCTTGTACAGCAGACTGGCTCCAACATAAATAATTCTAGTGGAAAACTATTTTGGGTCAAATTCAATATAGCTCATCTAGGTGAGTTTAAAATACAATAATTACCATATCAGTAGTATCAATATTTTTTTGTTAGTTTTGCCTAATTTTTATCCCTGGTGGATTAGGCAAAGAAACAGGGATGTTCATAAACAAGTGGCGTGAGGAATGTGAGTTCTGGTTTGATTTGAAAAAAAGAGGAGATGTCACTCTTGAAATGTTTAAAACTCTGGGACAAAAAGAAGTTATTATTTCTATCAATTATTATTATGATAATTTAATATAATACTATTAAAAATATTTATTATATAATTATAACCAATCAGGTTCACTTATTTATTCGATGCCCATCTTGTGAAATACTTGACGATCTGCTCTTCACGACCCCACTCAGTGTGGCGCTCGGCAACCAGCTAGAAACGACAGTTAAGTCTGTCAAGTTTTTCTCTGACTTCCTGAATCTGGCCGCCAACTGAATGATATTTTGCTTTCTTGCAATAATTTTTTCATCATATTTTCACAATAGATTATATGTTCACACACACGCAACACACACACACACACATATATATATATTTTGTATCAATTTTTTTATATATATCATAAATTTGATTTGAATAGTTACGTAGTTAGATAGATGGTTTTTCGTTTTCTATGTTCATTCATTCGTTTATTTGTACTTTCATCCATCTATCTTTTTATCGATATTATAGTTAATCAATCATTTATTTATTTCTTCATTCGTTCATTCATTCACTCATTCATTCATTAATTCATTCATTCGTTCACTCATTCATTCATTCATTCATTCATTTAATTTTACTTTTTTTTTACCTCTATTTCCTTGTTTATAAATTAATGTTGTGATATTGTATACATAATATTTTACTATCATATATATATATATATATATATATATATATATATATATATATATATATGTATATATACATATAGAGTAGTGATATGTAAGCATATATATTTTAATATATATATATACATATATACATTCTTTATATATATATATATATATATATGTTGAAAGGAGACAATATTTTATACTGTGTTGTCAATATATCAATAATATATATATATATATATATATATATATATATAAATTCTTGCCTTTTGGGATCATCATTATCACAAAATATCATCATTATTCATCATTTATAATATCACTATCATCATCATCTCTATCATAATCATAACTTGTTTGTTATTTTTTACGATGCATAATTTTAATAAGGATGGTATTTTATCAATCGTATCTGATATTTTTTACCTTGGAGTGTTGTGTGTGTCTGTGTGCGTGCGTGCTTGTGTGTGTACGTAAGTGTGAACGTGTGTATTTCTAGTTCCTATTTATTTTTTTCACTATTTCATTCTTTCTTTTTGTATTTTCATTTCAAGTTAAGTTCATTCATTCTCTTTGTCATTTCCGTTCCCTTATCTAATTTATTTTCGTTTTTATCTAGAGTCAAGTAGTTAATAAATAATAGTGAATTATAACGTTGAATGATTTTAACTCTAGAGGCCGTCCTACATTATGCTATAGCTCTGCAGTTTCTCTATTCCCTTGCATGCCTCCTACCTTTCCACTAGTTCTATTTTATTTTTCAGTTATATCTCAAGTTGACTTTGAATGATAAGTGCCGTAGTTATATTACACTTTCGTCAGCATTTCAGAAATAATTTGCCTCGCTATTACCACTCTCTCTTACACACAAACAAACAATCACATATATATATATGTATATATATTATATATATATAACCTTTATTATTACATTTTATATCTATATTTTCGTCTCATCTCAACATCATCATCGACACGCATATATATATATATATATATATATATATATATATATATATATATATATATATATATATATATAATGATATAATGTAAGCTTGGGCTGAGCTATCAAAAATGTTAGCGCTCACATGTTATCTTGAAGTGCAATCCTTTTTATTGCCTGTCCAGTTTTAAATTAAAAGCTCCTGAGAATTTGTGCTTCGGCGTGTGGATGTTTGTTGCTAGTTTGGTAGGAAAACTGTAACTTTCCGACGTTTTAAATCGTTTATTTACAAAGAAAAATATGATATGATGTGTAACAAAATAAGTGAAGTGTCTAAATAGATGTGTGTGTGTGTGTGTGTAGATACGTTCTCATCATTCGTTCGTTCGTCTATCCATTCGTTTGCCATTTTAATCATTCGGTTATTTACTTATTTCATTCATTCATTCTTTCAATCATTCGTTCATTCAATTATTCATTTAATAGTTTTACAATATCACATTCTAACTAATTCAATCAATCAATTTTATTGGTCAAACTTCAAAACTTGTTCAATCGATCCGACCAATCATGAAACATGTTACGGAAACTGTTCAGTAGTTATGGTTACCTAATCAACGATTGCTTCAAAACTACATCAACCAATCAAAATCCAGGTAACAAATATCTCAACTAATTGATGATTACTCTTATAACTTTATCAACCAATCAAAATCCAAGCGCTAATGTGTTGACCAATCAATCTTCATGAATGGTGTATATATCAGGACACCTTGACCAATCAGACGTTGACTTGCAGGCCCAGTATTCACCTGATAGTAGAAAATTATTATAAATTACGATAACAATTAGCTAAAATATTATTAATTAAATTAATTATTAAGATATTATGAATAGATGTCAGGGTCGTACCGTTGTACACGTGCATCTGGCCTTCGTTCGTCACATCTTTCTCCTTCTTGAACCACTTCGGTTGGTAGGCTGGTTTGTCTGAGTTAGTTAAAGTTTGTGATTGGTTGGTTGCTTTTATCAATTAACCAATCAATCATTTATTTCTTTTTCTACTCATTCTTTGGTCATTCATTTGTTCATTTTTTTATTCATTCATTTTTTATTAAATTCTATCTTCGTTCATTCAGTAGTATATTAATCTATCGATCAATCAGACAATTGATCAATCAATCATTCATTCATTCAATCAAACAAATAACTGTCCAATCATACCCATAGTTGAAAAATAATATCTTAACGTCAAACAAAAAAAAACCTTCTATCTCTAATTGCCTCCTCGCCGCTCTTTGCTTCTCTTCCAGTTTCACTTTTACTCTGTTTGCATCTTCCCATCTTAAAAATGAATGAAATGTTCTTTATTTCCACCAATCATTCATTCAATCATTCATTCATTCATTCATCTATCCGCTTACTACTTGGCATTTTTCTTTAATCTCTAATCTAGCCTCAGCTTACTATCAATCATTCTCCCATTCATTCATCCATCCATCCACTTTGATTGATTGATTGATTGATTGATTGATTGATTGATTGATTGATTGATTGATTGATCTATCCATCCATCCACTAACCTGGCATCTTCCATCAACCTCTGATCTGGTCTCCGCCTGCTGTCCGTCGGAGCTACTCCAGCTTCCATCTCGTTCAGCGTTATCGCAAATTCAGTAAAGTTGTAACATTTCGATAAGTCCGGACTTTTTATTATAAATTATAATTATAAATTATCATAATTTATTATTACTATTATTATTATTACTTACGATTCTCTTATATGTTTAGTGTTAGCGAGTTAACGCGCAATGACCAGGCACTCTGACCGTCACAACATCTCGCCGCCCGCCCATCATAATTTATTACATTATTATAATTATCATAATTTATTACATCGTTATAATTATCATAATTTATTACATTATTATAACTATCATAATTTATTACATTATTATAATAAATTACAGTTGGTGATAACTGACTGCGGTTTGTTGCATTGCCAGAGTAACTTGGGGCGGTCCGTCTCGAACAGGACCTTGTTCGTGTCCGTGATGTTGTTGTTTGTCACGGCGGCACCTTCCACTTTGTCAGACCACGTACCTGGTGGTGGTGGTGATGGTGATGATGATGGTGATGATGATGATGAAAAACTAAGCCAACCTGACAATATAAACTTGGCTTTCCCGAGGTTATCATAGACTACTCCAGTCACCTAGAAGTATTGTAACAAAATCATCATCATCATCAACTCACTATTCTCATCATCATCATCATCGACATCATCATCACAATCATTATCATCATAACTCACTCTCCTCAAAGGCCCATTGGAAAAATAACTGTACGGCAGATAGTTGATGACGCATTTTCCACCATTGTGGTGGTTGAGAATTTCCATCTCCCCGTGGTTTTCCACCCAGAGGTAGCCAACAATGACGTTGTGAATGGTCGTCGAAACCTTCCGCCAGGTGTACAAGTCCTGGTATTTGTCTATCTTTAAATGGGCGATACCTGCCATACGTATACAATGTATGTGTGGTATCTCACTGCATGTGTGTTTGTCTGTGTGTGTGTGTGTGTGTGTGTGTGTGTGTGTGTGTGTGTGTGTGTTGTGTAAGTATTGAGATTGTTCTTTTGTTCGATTGATTTTGAGTAATCTACTGTTGTCTCGAGAAATTGAAAAATTCTATTTCTTTTAGCGAGAAAACATTTTGATCACAGAAAACCACATCCATTAAATCATTACCACTAGCTCCATCATCATATTCATCATCATCATCATCATCGTCGTCATCATAACTAGGATCATCATCTCATCATTACCACCACCACCATCATAATCACCATCACGGTCGTCATCAAACGCAGCTCACCAAGTGGCACGACCTCGATGTACTTCCCTCTGAACTTGCAGCTCATACTGAACTCCTGCCACATGATCCAATCCCTACTCTGAGCGTGCATCGCCACTACTGGCGGGTGGTGGCTAACCTGGTGATGATGATGGTGATGATGATGGTGATGATGATGATGATAATAGTGATGATGGTAGTGATGATGGAAGTGATGATGGTAGTGATGAAGACAAAATGGAAGAATGCGATGAAGAAACTCAGAATGATGATGAGACAAAATGTCGGAGCAAGTAGAGAAAAACAGACTAAACCAAAACATTGGAATAGTTTTAGTGAGAATTGTCACCAATAATACCGTTACCAATAATAATACCATCATCATCATCATCATCAACTACATCATCACAATCACCACCACCATCATCATCAAAACCTGTTCAGCCAGGGACCTCCACCCCATCTCGCTGACACGATCGCACTCGAAAGTCTCTCCTAGCAATGGATTGAATGGCTTGTAGCATCTGATGACGACGACGACGACGATGATGATGACGACGATGATGACGATGGTGTTTCTACTGATGGTGTTTATAATAATCCACATCTGCCATTATCACCGTCATCGTCACGGTTAGTAATATCCCCATCATCATCATCACCATAGTCACTATCATAATCATGATCGCCCTATCATCATCATCACCATGACCATCGTCATCATCATCACCACAACCTGGAAACAGTGGTGGAGTATGAGGATATTGTGAAAGCTGCCACCCAAGCCATTCTTTCCCACGGATCGTCGCACGTGACTGCCTAATCACGTTATCGTCAGTTAGTGGATGGACAGAAGAAGGAATAAATGAATGAATTGAATGAAAGAGTGAATGAATTAGTGAAAGAATGAATAAATGAAATAGTGAATGAAATAATGAAAGAATGAATGAAAGAGTGAATGAATTAATGAAAGAGTGAATGAAAGAATGAAAGAATAAATGAAAGAATGAATGAATTAGTGAAAGAGTGAATGAAAGAAAGAACAAATAAACGAATGCACAGACTCTATCAAGGCATACTGAATACTCTAGATCTTCAGTCAACCGCTGTAAAAACGAGAGGGGCTCGCTAAAGTTAACCTGACAAAATGAAGACGAAGGTGATAATAATAAGAAAAAGAAGAATGATGATGATGATAATTATAAGAAGAAGAATGATGATGACGGTAGAAAAGACGAAAATGACGATTTTGAATTTTGTACAGTAAGGTTAAATTCATGCATATGAGCATGATTATCACCACCAACACCACCGTCATCATCATCATCATCATCGCCAACGACAGCATCATCATTAGGACTGACGGGCATAGATATCTTAGTGATGTCCTTCCCGATGTTATTTTTAATTATCGTCCAGAGACTCTGGCTGACGTTCGGGCGTTCGGTTATCCTCGTCCTCCGGTGTATAGTTCGATTCCTCGGAACCGCGTTGAATAATTTTAACTGGTTCGTTGATTGGTTGGTTGGGTCAGGTGATTGGTTGGTTGGTCGGGTCAGGTGATTGGTTGGTTGGTTCGTTAGGTGAAAACCGTATATTACGCTATATAACTATATATAATAAATAACTCTACATAACTATATATAAATCTATATAGCCATGAAAAGATGAAAGAAATAATTAATGAGATTAATTTATCAATGAGAAATCATCACCACCATCGTCATCACCATCCCCATCATCACCTCAATTTGGCTCCATTGAGGAATTTTTATGCCACTGATGGTGTTTTCATCGATCTTCATCTCAGCTATGGAGCTCTGTCTGCTTGGCTGACTGCTGTACGTGGATCTGAGTTTGATATGTATCAATGTATTAATGTGTCAAGATATCAAGATACCATGGTATTAATGTATCAAGATATCAATGTATCGTCACCGTCGTCATCCATCACCACCATCATCATTGTCGTCATCACCAGCTTTATCATTACTTTATTTTTTCAAAACTGGATTAAGACTCGAGTTTGAATGAAATTTCATCCAAAATATGTGGTTGATACAAAAAACATTTCTTAAGTCAGGCGAGGAACGACGTATCAATAGAATAAAGAATGCACAGCAAAGTTATAAATGAAATGAACAAATAAATTCTTGTTACAACTACAACTTTTGCAACTAGCATCATTAAGCAACGTTTTTAGAGTAATTTTTGCATCGTCTGCATAACCAAAAGCGTTTGTACAGAAACGTTTACAATCATCATAATCACCACCACCATCATCATCACCGCCACCATTATCACCAACAACACCACCATCATCATTATCAGCATCGCCAACAACACTGACAACATCGTCATCACAACTGACCCCAATTTGGATCTGATCTTAAATTTATCACTGCCCGCTTCTGCGTCGAAAAACCGATCATCCATGCTGTCTGGTGATGATAATGATGGTGCAAATTTTATCATTTCCTCACTATCCATGAAAGTCTTATCATCAATCATCTCATCATCTTAGTCATCGTCCACATCTAAATAACCATACTCATCATCGCCACCAACTACAATGACGTCATCACCGTAATCGTCATCATCATCGCCGTCTCACTTACTCACCGACATCAGCTGTAGCTGCACTTTTAAACCTCTCCTCCAGAAAAACTTGCTCCTTACCCATGCTCTCGACGATGGATTCCAGCTGCTCGATCCGTCGCATGTCGTGACCCAGTATCTTACTGAAGATCAGCTTCATCTCTCTCAACTGCTGGGATAGCTCTTTAATGATCTGGGTCAGGTCGGTCGGGTCAAAAGATAGAGAGGTCACGAGATGTAATCAAATGTGAGTTGATTGAAAGATTAGAAGGTTATATGAAAATGGGATGAAATGATGAAGTTTAAAGGTCAAAGTTCACACTGTAGAAATGTCAGGAGTAGATTTGAAAAATGATGAAGATGATGATGAAATAAAATAAAAACAATATAAATTTCTAACAGTTGCTGATTTGTTAGATGAAGTTAGCAACTTTTCAGCTGTTGGTAGAAGCATTTTCTCAGCATTGGAGTTACTTTTAACAATATCCTGAGCTAATTTCAGCATTGAACTGGCCTCTTTTGAAACTACTTCATTCATGTTTGACATCTCCATAAATTTGGAGTCTAAATCCTTTAGTGTCTTGATGAAGACATTTTTCTCTTTCTCTGAATCATCTGTGAAAAAACTTTTTAAATTATTTTTTTCATTAAACTATTCATGTGCATCTAGATTTAGTAAAATTTTTGCTAAAATGAGAGTTTAAAAACTAACTTTTCATATTTATTTAGTTAAAAGTTAAATGAATAAATTATTTATAACTAGAATAACCAAGTTCTGCTTGCTTAGTGACAAATCTTTTGGCCTCTTGAATTGCATTGATCCATTTCAGTTTTTCTTCCTCACTGGCCGCTTTGAACCTAAAATTTTGAGCTCCAGTCAAAATACGAAACCTTTTCCTTCCAATGTCTATAGCCATCAAGTTACTAACATCATACTTTCCTCGAAGAGATTTTTCTGATTCATTTTTTTTTCTTAAATAAAGAATAAGTGTGTTTATTGCAATTCAAACTAAAATTTTAAATTAAAAAACTATCCAATTAATTTATTAATTAAATAATTTAAAAATAAATGAGTCCCCACTTATAAACGGAAAGATAATTATCTCTCAAAACGACGTATCGCTTTTTGTATCTGGTGACGATGTTGGTCCATTTCAACAGCCAGCCTTCAATTATATCGGCTGACAGATCAAAATAAACTTCGGAAGTCATCAAATTACCTCTAAAAACATTTTTAATTTCGTTTAATTTTTAAATTAAATGAAATTTAATTTAGTAAAATAAAATTTAATTTAGCAAAATTTAATTTAATTAAGAAGAAAACGCGAAAAAAGAAATTAGGTAAATAGAAATGATTGGATTTTAAAAAGTGATGGATAAATAATTTTGTCACTATTGAAAATATTCATCTGAATTTTCTACCGGTTTCTAACATTTGTTTATCAAATATTTAAAATTAAATAATATTTATAAATTAATTAATAAAATTAAACACAAAATTTAAAATTTGTAACAATTTTCGCATAAATTCAATCAAATTTGAACATTCAAATAAACCGAGTTAAAGTTCGTCTATTAGTTAGAACCGTATTAAGCCCGCACTTTACATCACGTGTCCAAGCTCACACATACTCACACGTACATTTATATTCATATAATTCACCAGTATGTTATATAAAACTGTATAAAACTCTTTACAAACATCATATTTAATTTGAAAATGTATATAAACAATCTCTAAATATGTACATACACATTGTATATATTTATATACGGTTTATTTAGGTTGTGCTAATTCATATATAATAAGCTTACCTAGGGATGTGCTAGATTTGTATAAAGTGTGTTATAATAATGTGTATTGTGTGTATGTGCATTCATCTCAACTGATTTGGGATACATTTTATTTCGTTTATTCGTTTACATATTGAACAAATGTCCTAATTTGGCCGAATAAATTTGATATAGTTTGACGCCTTTTACTGAGAAAATGTCCTACCAACAGTACATGAACATGGGTTAGTTTGATTTTTTTGTTGTTTGCTGGAGATATATTATGTTTACTATTCTGCTCTTATTTCGCTATTTTATTTATTTCATTTATTTATTTGTCGTGCAGTTGTCTGCCGAAGGGTACGCACGCATCCTAATGATCCATAATAAACAGGAATTGTAATGTGCATTTGTATTGCGCCATTTTAATTGTGGATTTATTCCAATTTGTGATTCGAAATTTTGGAAAATTTTAAGAAATAATAAAATGAGTTACCAGCAAGAGCGAACAAATACAAATTATGCACAAATACAAATTATGCGCAATTACGAATTTAAATTTTGAGTGGAAGTCTTTTGTAAACTAGACAGATTGTACATTTGTTTACTTTACTTACACAGAAGCAAGAACAATCATTCAAAAATCCTGTTATTGGAAATGCAAACATGAACCATTATCCATTGCAATTGTAAAAACTTTCATGCAAACCAATTGAGCTAACTTACTCTTACTGATTAATTCATATGTTTACCTTTACTTCTTGTAATAATGATATATTATAAAGTGCTGATAACCAGACATCAAAATATTTACTTGAACACAACAAATCATAATTTGAAATATTAAATCATATAAATAAAATAACTCATGCATATAGCAGGATTTGGTTCGCCTAATCACCCATACATGATGGGGGGTATGTCTGCCCCAGCCATGCAGTTCTCATCCCCAGTTGCCACAACATCATCCTCGTCTTCATCATCCTCGTCTAATAATTTCAACCAGCCTGCTGATTTTTCTGGTGTGTTTTTGTGTTTCTTTGTCTTTGTTCCTGGCATTTTTGAGGGCAGTTGTGTGTTCGTGAGATTTTTACTGTTTAAGTTTGTAAATTCTCCGTAAGTCCGCACAATCTGTTTTTTTTCATTTTGTGTTTTGGATTTTAAGTAAATAGAATTTTGAATTTTTGAATTTAAATTTCTGTCAACAAGTTTTTGCTTGATAATGTTTTCTTCAAATTAGAATAATTTTTTTGTATTTGTTCCATTACAGTATCTGCAAACAACCATCCAAACATCATGAACAACCAGCAACAACAAACTCGACAACAACAACAATCTCCAATGCAACAGCAACATCAGCAGCAACAACATCAACAACAACAGAAGCAGTCCCATCATCAACAGCAAAGACAGCATCATCCACAGCAACAACATCATCAACCACAACAACAACCTCAACAACAACACCATCAACAACAACAACAACATCATCAGCAGCAACAACAACAACCTCAGCAGCAGCAGCAACAACATCATCAGCAACAACAAAAGCTGTCAAATGTTTCTGTGAAAGTTGAACAGACAAATGACAACAGAATCAACCAACAGCAGCTCAACAGACAAAACAACAATGCCATGAATCAACAGGCCTCATCCAACAACAACAATAACATGAGATCACCAAACAACAACAACAACAACATGAGAGCTAACAACAACAACTTCCAACAAATGAACAACAACACAATAAGAAGCAACAACAATCATCTCCTTGATCAACCGCACCTCAATCGTAACACCCACAACAAGCCAATCATGGACAGCCAGACCAGCCAATTAAATCTCTTGAAAAGTTCTCTCAGCCAATCACAGATGATGAACAATCTGCACAATCAGCACCACTTGGCCGGGGGAAATTTCGCACATCCTCAGTTTTTCAACCAACACGGCAACCAGGGCAAGAGAAAAATGAACAACGATCCTAACAGACCCAAGAGACCGACATCTGCCTACTTCTATTTTGTTCAGTTGGAGAGAGAAGAAGCTGCAAAGAGAGGGGAACGAATTAACAGGGTTTGTTTGTTGTTTGCCTTGGTGGGGGTAGTTGTTTGTCTTGCCTGTCTGTTTTCGTCTCTAGTAGCTTAGTGTTTCTTGTGATATTGTACCTTTGGCAGGTTGCTGATTGGACGAAACAGGTCTCAGCAAAATGGAGGACTCTGACCAATGAGCAGAAGGAACAGTTTCAAGTGCTGGCAGCTGGGGATAAAGTCAGGTACAGCCAACAGGTACTTGCTGATGCTTCCACACCCACATAACATACACTCACACACGCACGCACACACACACACACACACACACACACAGATGGCAGTGTACACGGGGAAAGATGCCAACAGGCCTAAAAGACCTCAATCAGCCTACTTTCTCTGGCTGGCTGACTTCAGGGTTAGGGTCAAGGACAAGTTTGCTGAACATAAGGATATACTAAGAGCTGGTTGGTTGGTCGGTTGATTGGTTGGTTGATTGATTGGTTGGTTGATTGGTTGGTTGATTGGTTGGTTGATTGATTGGTTGGTTGATTGGTTGGTTGGTTGGTTGGTTGATTGGTTGGTTCTTTGAGGGCTTTTAAAATTGATAAATTTTATGATTAGGAGGATAGCATTGCTGCTTGTACTTCAGCTATCGTTACTGCTGTTACTACTACCACTACTACTAATAATAATAATAAGAAGAAGAATTATATTATGATTATATAATTATTATTTATTATAATTAGCTGGTGAGGAATGGAGGAAGATGACAATGGATGACAAAGCGCCATATGAACAACTGGCTGAGGAAGAAAGGAAGAAATATGACATCAAAATAAAGGAGTACAATCAGGTGATGATGACGATGATGATGATGGTGAATGTGATAATGATGGTAGTGATGATGACGGAATGAGTAGTTGAATGAATGAATGAATGAGTGAATGAAAAAATGTTCATCCATCAGAGTGGAGTGAAGAAAGCTCGCATAGAAATGCAGCAACAGCAGCCATTGTCATCACTATCATCACCTCTCTCAACATCATCATCATCATCGCAACAGCAATCATCTATGGACAGCAACAACAACATGAAACAAGAATCCAACAACAACAACGACGTCGTTGAAGAAAACTTGGACAACAACAACAACAGTAGCAGTGAGCACAACAATTCTCCATCACATGATGACCATCACGACGACAACGACGACGACGATAATGAATCCCACACCAGCAATCACGACAACCAGCATAGCAACAACACTGACGATGATGACGACAACAACAACGACAACAACAACAACCAATCAGCACCCGCATTCACAACATCGACAACGTCATCGTCAACAGCTCCACAATTCAACTTCCAACAACAACAACAGCAGCAGCTTAACTTTCAGCAGCTGCAATTTCTTCAGCAACAGCAGCAGCAAATGTCCTCATTTTTCCAGCAACACAACTTCAACATGCCGCAGCAGCTGTCCCAGCAGTTACAGCTTTCCCAGCAGCTACAGCAGCAGCAGCAGCTCTTGCAGCAGCAACAACAGCAGCAGCAGCAGCAAGGATTCAGTGATGACAATGCCAACAATGATGACGAATATGATGATGAAGATGATGATAATGATGAGTGAATTATGATAATGAAGATGAATAATGAATGAGTGAGTGAATGAGTGAGTGAATGAATGATACAATGTGTGAAATACTGACTGTGAATTAAATTGATTTTATAAACATAAAAGTGAATGAGTGAATGTGAAAGTGGATGAGTTTAAAGACTATCTGAAGAATTAATTTCGGATTAAAATTTGTACAGAAGATACAAATACTGATGATGATGACGATGGTGTTGGTAGTGATGATGATATCAGTTGATGATGATGATGATGACATCAATTAGTTTTAGTATAATTAATAATTGCTTGAATCACACACATAGACACACACCACACACATAGACACACACACACAAACACACACATACAATCTCATACTGACAGAGAAATATGAATAACCAATGACAATTAAATAACTATTTTTCCTTCTTTCTTATATATCTTCGGCATACACAAGAAAATCTATACATGTGTACAATACATTCGTATACATTCATATTCGTGTACATACATACATACACATGTATTATATATATATATGTCTATATATATATATATATATATATATATATATATATGTTTATATATATATGTTTATATATATATATATATATATATATTTGATATATATATATCACTTTTGATTGAGATAAAAATCATGTTATCATTATTATATCTTGTTGATATATTTGTGATCACCATATATATTCTGTCTTACATAGTTGATGTTACATTTTCTTAACCTATGAATCTTTTTTTTACAAATTTGAGGTCCTATTACACAGCTATCGAACCGACGCTGTCTTAATGGGCGGCGTGATGGCTCTGGTTAAAGGCGCCTGGTCTTTGTCGTTGAAACCTCTGAAGCTAACGCAAAAGAGAGAGAGTAATCTTTAACCTTTAATTACACATAGAAGGGGAGATGACTATGTCGCCGTCGTTGTTGTTGGTGAGGTTTATAGTGAGATGGTGAAGTTGTCGAAGATGACGATGATGATGCCAAGGTGATAGCAATTGTTTTAACATTACTAAGCTGATTAATCCGTTATGTGCTATCAATGTTGTTATATATAACTTGTTGTATATGACTGTCATCGTTCGATTCAATAACTAATCTTAATCTATTGGTGGATATTTATTCTGGTTTGTTTGTTAGTTCGTTCATTCGTTCGTTAAAACTTTAAAAGGATGTGTTTGCGTTATTTCTTTCAGTCAATCAATCATTCATTCATTCGTTGACTAATTCAATCATTCACTCTTTCATCTGTTAGTTCCAAACAAAATTTTATTTGTGATAAAAATCAACAGAGATTAGCATACAATTAACAGCTTACGTATGAATGAATGAGTGAGTGATTGTAAGAACGAACGAATAAATGAATGGACGAACGAGTGGATGAATGAATTAATAAATATTAGTAAATATTATAAAATAATTATTGATAAGAATTCTTCTTTCATATATTGAATCAATTAATGGACAGAATGAGTCTGTATTAGATTTTACAAAATTTCGTATCATTGCATTCAATTAATTATCCAATCAAATCAGTAAATGTATTCGTTTACTCACTCATTCATTCCATTCATTTATTCTCATGCATTCATTTATACACTCATTAATTCAATCATCCAACTGATAATGGTGATGGTTGTTGATGAGTAATATGGTGACCGACCCTGAACCGATTGATTGATTCATTCATTCATTCATTCATTCTCTCGTTCATTCATTCACTAATCCACCCATTCAATCGTCCAACTGACACAACAAAGCAGTGCCTCTCTTGATCCAGTGGTTATGATGCCGACCACTGGTCAGTAGGATGATGATGATGAAGTTGGTGGAGTGGCCGGTGGTCGATAGTGTGCCACACCTCTTGCTCGTCTTGTACATCGGGCACTTGTATCTAAGTGAGTGAGTGAGTGAACGAGTTAGTTGATTGAGTGAACGATTGAGTGACGAATGAAAAAATGTTGCTTGTTCGATTGATTGATTGATTGATTGATTGATTGATGATTCTTTGATTAATAGAATGATTGGCTGAGAGATAAATCGACTGAATGATCTTTAAATGATTAATTAATATTTAATTTATTGATTGAATGAATGATTAATTGATTTAATAGATAGTCACCATCAAACAATTAATTTTAATAGAATTTTAAATCGACTGAGTGATATTTTGGTCTTAGAATGTTGGATTGATTGGCGTGAAAATTTGTTGATAAACTGAATGAAAATGGATGGATGGATGGATGAATGAATGAATGAATAAAAGGTACCTAGGGTCACCGTCCAACAGTTCAACCTTCTTGATTGGTTTCAACCAAATAACTGGCACGGGACTGTAGAGAACATTCATTTCTTGTTCAACCAACAAACCACTGTTTGCATGTAGGTGATGGATGAATGGAATGTATTTGTAAACGGATGGATGAAGGAATGAACGAATGGATGAATAAAAACTATCCACATCCAACTTGCATGGATGGGTGGATGGAATAAATGAATGAATCAATGAACGAATAAAAAAACTATCCACCTATCCACATTGCACTCAGATAAACAGATGGAATAAATAAGAAATAATGAATGAATAAAAGAAAGAATGAATGAATGAAAAGATAAATGGATGAATGAAAAACTGTCCACCTATCAACGTCCCACTTCCCTCCATCTAAGAACAAGCCATCAATGTAGGCTCCGTACTTCGGTCTATCTGCCACTTTGAATGTGTTCAGAATCTTGGTGAAAGTACATTTTTTCGGGGACTAGTTAAATTTTATTTTGGCAAAATATCAGAGAAGAGGTTACCTCGAAATCGAAAGCTAATTGGTCGATGGGAAGAACACGTGACCTGGCGTGGTTCTGCATGACTCCAGTTAGAAATGCCTGAACGAAGTAGAAACCGGAAATCCAAAATACGTCCGGCTTGCCATTATCGTACCAGTTCTTAAAATGATGATGATGGTGATGATGATGAATATAGAGCTATTAATATTATTTATCACCTCATAGCATAACGCACATTCACTCATTCGTTCATTCACCCAACATTTGAATGATTGATTGATTGATTGATTAATTGATTGATTGATTCAACCATTTCACTATCTGTTCATTCATTCATTCACTCATTCATTCATTCACTCATTCATTCAGTTACACACTCAGAGAGCTAACTTGCATAAACTTTAATCTAAGGGTCAAATCATGAATATAACTGGACAACGGCTTTAAGGATGGATAGGAAATACCGACCCAGAGATCCGGTATTCGACCGATTAGTAAACTACCGCCAAGCGATTCCATCTCCGACGACATGATGTCTAATCCTCTGATAGCCCGTTGGAGATCGGTCAGAGATTTTTGTATGGTTTCTATTAGCCTGCACTTGTATAAAGTTGCGTGTGTAAACGTATTGTTGCTTGTAGATGCGTACATAGTGATTGACCCAGATACATAATCAAATGAATGATTGACCTAGATACATAATCAAATGAACAATTAACCTAGATACATAATCAAATGAATGATTGACCTGTTGTAGCGCGTCATTTCTTGGACGAGGACGGTGTTCATGGAGTCTTCGTATACGACCGGGTAGCGATGGGACGCTTGCACAGTGTCGAACTTTCGATCCATCTGAAGATTATGATTGATTGATTGCTTGGTTGGTTGATTAGTTGGTTATTTTATTGATTGATTGGTTGGTTTGTTGGTTGATTGATTAATTCACCTTTTTAAGAACCTCAGAAGCGATTTCATACAACTTCTCTTCAGACTTAGCATCTTTTTCGTCTCCAACGTAACTGTCACTTCTACTACCGCTACTACTACTACCACTAGCACTGCTACTGCTGCTACTACTACTGTTGCTGCCAGCAACGCAGCCACTAGCGGCTAAGGTCGCAGCCACAACAGCAAGCAGTCCTTGGAAGAGTTGTTTGGTGTCGTTAACATGCTTCATGATGTTCATGTTTTCGTGCATGCCAAAGACTTGAGGCGGTTGGCTGGATGGCAGGTGCTGATTGGTTGGATGTTTAGGGCCGATTGATTGGTTGGTCGATTAGTTGATTGATTTAGACCATCATTATCATCTTTCTTACGTCAACAACACTATCGATCGCAACAACAACAACAACAGTAAAACAACAGCCCAACCTTAATATACTCAATGTACTGTTCGATAGTTCCCTTCCCTGGCATCAAATAGCCATCACTGAATTTGTAGCGATGTGCTTGAATGACGTCATCGTTGTAAAAATCGGCCAACATGGTGAGCAGACATCTTCTATCCCAATCGTCTGTTACTCTCCCGCCATAATTACATTCGCCTTTTTTGGATTAGGGATTAGCGATTACGGATTAGTATCATCATCGTCAACGTCATCATCATCATCATCACCATCGCACCTGTAAGGTAGGTGAGTGCATCAAATGGTATCTTCTCATATTCATTGACAAACATCTGATGCGAATGAGAGAATGAATGAATGAAACAAATGAAGGGAGGAATGCATGAATGAATGAACAACGAATGAACAAATGAACTAATTAAAGAGTCAGTAAATGAAACATAACAACAACAAAGCAGCAACAACAATACTAGCAAGATCTAAAAATAACCTGCAGCTGCCTTAATGAAATCCTCAAATCTGATTGGTTGAAAGCGTAGGGTATGTTGAACCCCGTGGCGCCGAATGACTTCCGTTCTTGGACGAGGGCATGGAAGAAACATAAGCCATATACTAATTTCTCAAAAACCTGTCATGATGATGATAGCGATGATGATGACGTCATGATGATGATGATGACATCATCAGCAGCAACATCATCTCAACCAACGTGTTGTTTGTTAGGGCAACCCAGAAAGAATTCTGAATCATTGATTGGTTCGCTGGTGTAGGATTGCAATAAATTTTCTTTCAATCCGCTCGGTGGCTCGTTCGTCATTTTGATCCCATTTTGTAAGACGGAAACCGGAAACTGAGAATGACATCAATCGATCAATCAATCAATCTTTCAACCTACCAACAAATAACCAACCAGCCATCCAAACAACAAACCATCCAGACATCTAACTAGCCAGCCAACAAACCAACTAAACAAACACTAACAAACAAAACAATCAACCGACAAACCAACCGACCTTATCGGACGGATAACTGGTCAACCAGAGTCTGAATTCAGCGTGGGTGTTATCTTTCTTAAAACCCTCACATATCTTTTCCAACTGCAGCATCCAACTAATGGCCAGGTGACAATTCTGTAGCAACACCCACCCACCAATCAAACGAGCTTGTTGGATTGCCCGCGCTGCTACTGGTCCCTGCGGATTTGAAATTTGAAAAGAAGGAATAATAATACTAATAATAAAAAACAACAATCACCTGTCCTTGACCCAGAGAAACAGATTGAAACTTATCTCCATGGTAGCCCTTATCAGAGGCAAATTTCATGAGGGCTGCCGTAGGGTCGGCCCCAGACGAGAGCACGAAAATTAGAGGGGCACAATTGTCCGAGTCTTCGTACGACCTAATCAGGTCAAATTTCGGAGGCTCCACAAACGTTTGACCTAGTTTCTCGGCTATGAACTTTTCAGTCGCTGGTATGACCTAGATAGGAATTGTTGAAGATGTTGATGGTGTTAGTGACGTTGATTGTAAATTTATCATCATAATCAGCATTACTTCTAACATCATCATCTTCACGAACGCAACATCAACATCACAACCAACCTTGTCGGGCCGGATGCACCTGATAATGATAAGTTTCTGGAAGTCGGACAATTTTTCAGACCAGGGTGGGGGTAGCAATTGATGGTGTGGCGAGGGATCGTCGTAAATTACCCTCCATTCATTTATCGAGGATTTGAAGGAAGATCTGCGATTTTTAATTGATTCAATCAATCAATTGATTCAATAATTCGTCAGAGCTAGAGCCAGGGTTAGGGCCAACAATAATAAGGTTCATTCGTCCATCAATACTAACATGAAATCCTTAAAAATGGATAGCTGCTTGAGATTGCAGAGTTGGTTCCACATTCGTTCGGATATCCATGTCGAATCAGGATTATCCGTCGGTCCGTTCAATCCGGTTCCGCCGGTTAAGAAAAATAATAATTCGTTGTTTGTCATCTCGTTGTTAGCGATCAAAAGGTTGGCGCAGAGGAGAAATGAAAATATGAGTTTGTGTCGATCGAACAGAGATCTGCATATGTTCTCGTACAGATTGTGTTGGAAGTGATTCTTCAAATAGGATATCCTTTTCTCGAGAATTTTCGACTTGTTGCTATCGAGTATGGAGTGCCTGAAGAGGTTGATGAACCAGCTGAGAGAGTATTGATACATGGGATCGATGTTGGGTAGGTCCGCCACGCTGAAGAACAACACAGCTGAGTGCTTTGCGACGGGTCTGTAACACTGGCGGGAGACATCCATCTGCTTCTCCGTCTCCATGGCCACCTTCTGCTTCTTCAGGATCTCATTCGAAAGCATTTTTGATTTATCCAGAAAGTCTACAGTTGTTTCATCTTCGAGGATGTTACCTTCGGATTGAGACAGTGTAACAAGAATTTTGTCCTCTATCTCCTTCAGTTGTTTGTTGTTTTCTGCGCTCAACAGTATCAGAGATTGTCTCTCTGTCTCTAGGTCTGGTCTCTCCTTAGCCACAACAATGCCTAGCAACTGATCTTCCAATCCTTCCCTGGTTATCATGAAGTTGATTAATGCAACTTTCGTAGCAACTTCTGGAAGATAGTGTGGGTTTCGAACCCGGGTCGTTACGTAGAAGCGAAAATCACTCGAATACTCTATCACGTTCTCACCTAATCGTATCATGTCTACACCGCTCTGTTTGTAGGTCTGTTTCAAAAGTAACGGTTCGAATACCGGATCAAGTTCTTCTTGAACATTCTCGAGTAGAATCGGATTGCCAAAAGAAATGCAATTTTCTAACGTTCGCATGTAATCCGACTCGGTTAACCTTATAACTTGCAGTTTGTTTTCTTTCTCCATGTTTTTAGTCCAATAATTGGCTTGACCTTGGGGATCAATCATGAGCGGCCACTTTGTAGAATTCGCGATGATGACCGCGTTGTCAATTGAGAATGGATCGTTAGGCAGCCCTGCTATATTCCACGATTGGATGACCACCGGATCACCCAGAGTTAATGACAACGAAAAATTTGAGCTGACAGATATATCGTGTTTCTGACAAACTTTTATCCAATCGGCGATGCACATTTCTCTGAAGGAGAGAGTGTACGGTCCCAGGTAGGCAATGCTGGCTGCCGATAGCAAAATATCACCCAACAGACTATCGTATCGCAACTGCAACTGAACTGTTGCATCCGTCCATCTCTCTTTTTCTCCTCCCAGGCCTTTGATCAACCTTTCTGCTCTATCTAATTTTGCTTCACACAGCGCCACCTGCTTTTCCAATTTTTCTTTCTTTTCTAACATTTCTTGAAATTGATGCTTCAAATTCATCAGTCTTTCTTCTACGCTTTTAAGTTCCGCTCTTTTCATTTTTAATTGGTCGAGAGTTTTTTTGAGCTCCGCTTCAGCCAATCGCATTTTTTCCTTTTTTGGCGCCACAATTTTAGCTACTCTATCATAAATCTCCATGGCGAGAACCCACTTGCACAAACCTTCAGCAGCAGACGATGCATTCGCCACTTTGTTCGGGTCGAAGTCAGGATTGTTTATGAATTCCTTTCTAATTTTTGTCATCGTCGTCACCTGTATGCTGTCCTTATCAAACTCTTTCAGATCTTTCAAAAAATTCAAATCACCGAGTAATTTTTTTGATGGGCCCCAGAAGTCTAAAATTTTGGCGCCAGTTCCGTTTGGGTCTACAATTTTTTCAGGCGGAATTCCCTTCATAACGCAGACGGCCGCCATTACTAATTTAACGCCGCTCGGTGGGTTCACCATTGATTTGACGATCGTGATGTCAGATGGCTTCAAGGTATTCAACGCGGTGATAGCAGTTTCAAGAGCGGGTATAGCTTCAGCTAACTCAGCCTCACATTCATCCTTTAATTCTTGCGCTGAAGCTGCTTGTCTTTTAGCAACAACTTCTTCAGATCTGACGATTTCACTCGTGTATTCCATCTCCTGTGATTCGTCGTCAATATTTTTCATCATTCGCACGTTTTCTTCAGCCATTTTTATCAGTTGTGGCTTCAAATTTTCAAGTTCGTTCTGCATGTCGGCAACCTGAGAGGCGGCAAAAGCGAGTTTTTCCAGCCCACACACATACCTCTTCTTAGCCTTCATCGTCGAATCCTGCTTGCTGTTGATCAGCGTACTGAGTAAGTTGATCATCTCAAGATAAGACGTTGGTGTCACGTAGGTATGTCTGCCCAACTGCTCCAAATATTTCACAGACAAGAGAGTTGACGAGGAATGAAAGTATTGACATATTTCTACAGTCTCTCTCTTCTCATTTTCTTTAATTTTTACATTTTCGAGAAACTTGGCAGCCACGCAGTGCAAAGCATCACTTGGCCATGGCTGGTACCAATCAATCGTGCAACAATTAACAAGAGATGGATACTGACGTAACCTTGACCTAAACGTTCCACCAATCGGACTGAAGGTAATTATAATATGCAAATTAGCTTTCGACCTCTCAACGAAATGTGCGTATAATTCTAATGGAGTTAAATCGTCGTTATTATTATTACTTGTTGGTGTTGCTGTCGCTGTTGCGTTAGTTTTAGGAATGTTATTGTTGTTGTTGTTTTTCGTTGTTGTCGGCTCGCTGGTAGGCAGAAATGTCGACCTAACAATTTCGACGATGTCAACGTACTCATCGGCGCTGAAAATGTTTGAAACCTCGCCGGCGTTCAACAAATTGTCCACCTCTTCCAGAAAAGAATCTTCATTGAGTTGTGAGTCAACGAGGAAGAATATGCAAGGTTTGTTGTGCGCTCCAGCATTTCTCAGCAAGGCTTTCAAGTCGTCGTGCCATTCGTTGATGCCATAACTTTTGGTGATCTCTGGTTGGTTGACGTGAACGTTTGAAATGTAAGCAGCCAATCGCGTCACAGATTGCCTGCCGCTTCCTCCCACGCCAACCAATAGCATGTTTCCACCGGGTATCAACAGTATTCTCGATATTCTTGATAAATGTTCTAACGCGTATTTGAAGATAACCAAATTCATCCTGGTCTTGTTAACAACGTTATATTCATCTAAATATTGTTCAACAACTTTGTGAAAGTCTTTCATGCTGTTGACTTCATCGTAAGTTCTCTCGTCCACCTCTTTATCAATGCACATGTAACTGCCAAACATGAGGTCGCTCAGCACGTCTGCCGTTGTGTAGCTGGTTCTATCCTTGAGGAGGTGCTCGAACACATCGTGAAACTTCACATCAAAGTGCTTGTTTATCGTCTTCTCTATCAGGTCAGCCAACCAAACTTTATCTTCGGAATTAACCAGCCTATCAGAGAAGACCCTGAGTACTTCGTGGCACCACAGACGAATCAGAACGCTCGTATCATTAAGGTGAGCTTTCTGCACCAATGAGAGACCGGATACTACTCGACTAAAATCTCTGAGGTTGAAGAGGTAATGTGATTTGTTGGGTGTTGGTAGCAAGATTGATGTCGATGTTTTGTAAATATCCTTCGTAGCTTCAACTATTTTTAAACCAAATTTTGTTAATTCTAATTGCTTCGTTTCGTTTGCAGATTTAAGAAAGGTGAGCACAACGCACGAAAATATCCTAACAAGTGATTCATCGCTGAACGAATTAACCGAAGTAATGAGGAAATGTCGCAGGACCCTGCCGTCCACGTGCCCCCGGATGCCGCCCATTGTGGGGACCATGGCCCCGATGAACTGAACGTCTTGCAGGTGAATTTTGCTCGTGTCCTTCAGATCGTACCAGTGTCCGTGTTCCAGGCAGAATCTCAAAAGTTCCAGCGGTGGTTGTGCTCCAAACTTTTCATGAGATGGTAGGTTGAAATCATCGATGAATATGATTGACTTTTTATTGATCGGTGGGCCGTAATAACCTTTTCTTCGTTTCTCTAATTTACTCATTATCAAGTTTTGAGTTTGATTGGCAGTAGTTTGAGCGGAAAAATTAATGAATGCTGGTTTGTACACATCTCTCTGGACCCCTCTCAACAACTTTTCTCGAACGTACACGGATTTCCCGGTTCCGGTTGGCCCCACGATCAGTAAGGGTTCTTTATAACGAATGCAGAAATCCATGATACCGTTATAACGCTCGGTATCGACTGTCGGTATTAGCACGTTTTGTAACTTCGCTGATGATGACGTCACAATTTTTGAGGTTGACGCCTGCTTTTCCTCCGCCTTCAACAGCCACGGCAGCCATTCATTGTTCTCAACGTAATAATCATAAACAAGTTCTCCATGGGCAGGCAACAATCCGCCGTATACGTCAGCCACTTTGCGGCTATTTTCAAACTTTCCACCACCATCAATGCTAATTAGTACGTTATTTTTAGTCAGCTCGTTAATATTCATGAGCTCGTTGATGCGTGCGTTGAATTTAATTCTATCGTTTTCATCGAGGACACAACCGATGGACCAGACGAGGCTGAATATGATAAGTTTGAATAGGTGGGACAGTCTGTTCAGTTGATCGTCCAGTGCTGAAGATGATGTTTCACCAAATAATTTTTCGTGTGCATCCCTGATCACCATGGTAACGAACCGGAAAAAGCAACCAACCAGCATGGAAACTGTCATGCGCAAATAAGTGGCCCTACAGTTCTCAGTGACAAATTCAATGGCGCCCTCAAGGGCATAGACAACAAATTTTTTTAATTCCGCTACTATGTCTATGTAAACGAGTTCACTACTACTCTTGTCATTGTGGTTGTTGATGTTGCTGTCATTGTTCTTGATGTCATTGCTGTTGTCGTTGATGTTGTTCTTCAAAGTGCGCAACCACGAATGTAACATGCACTGCCAACCGAGCATTTTCGGCTCGAAATAAATCATGCCACACCTGCTAACTGTGGCGGGCGAAGCCATGGAGAGGTCCAGAGTTTCAAAGATGAGATTCATCGAGGTCGGAAGCTGTATGACCTCTCCACTCATCAGACACAACTTTTTGTTGTCGTCAAGTACGGTGTTCATGTTCTCGATCCAGAGGGCGTCTATGGGGCCGTCAAAGATGACCCACCTCCGACCGCGCATCGAATGCGAGGCGAACTCGCGAAAAGTTATCGCGATCAGCCCGTCCGACCACTCATGGGAGACCGCGTCGAACTGCCCGTACAGCTGGCCCATCGTTATCGATTTGGGGTTGATAATTTTGCACGTTACTTTGGAAAAATTATTATTATTGTTGTTGCTATTATTATTATTATTGTTGTTGTTGTTGTTATTGGCGAGGTAGTTCATAGCTTTCGCCATTGTATGTATGACTGTAGATTTGCCGCCGTAAGGCTCGCCCACAAGCATAAACCTTGAAAATAATAAAAATAAAATAAATAAAAATATAGTAATTATTGCGAAAATATTATTTTTATTATTTTGTTATAATTTTAATTAATATTAACTAACTAACAATAATAATAATAAACATTATAATTATTAACCCGTGTCGAACGGTCATCATCTCATTCATCTGAATGAGTTTCTCAGCGAAAAAATCAACCATCGTCAAGTTATCATCACTTGCTACTTTATCTACAGCTGTTTATTATCATCATTATCATTGTTAGTATCATTATTATCATCGTTAGTATCATCATCTTGATCGTCATCGTTCTCACAATCATGACTAACCGTCTAACAGCTGAGAGTATCTTTCCTTTGGCAACTTCACGTTTGGAAAGAGATCGGATATTATGCCTGAGTAGAAATTATTACCATCAGTATCGTTATCGTCCATACTTTCATCATCACCATCGTCATCATCACAAACGTCATCATCATTATCTTCATCACCACCGCGATCACCACAAACAAACATCACCACAAATAAACGCCATCACAAACAAACAAACATCACCTTCAAACAAAGGAATATCATGAGCAAGGAACTTTGGCAGATTGACTTCCATGATTGACCTCAGCATCAGAATGCTCTCATCGGCATCTTTGTAGTTCAGTTTAAGGTTCCCAGCGGCACAGAGGACCGCTTTGACAGCACGCATTCCGTAGTCGTAATGGAACTGTGTGGAGAGTTGTTCGGAACAGAGGCGGTACGTCGTCACTATCTTCACTGAGAGCTGTCTGGCGTTTATGAATCCGAAAGAGTAGAGGCTGATCTCAGCTATCATCGCGTAATCAGGAACCATCATCGCCACAGTTCTGAATAAAACCTTCAAATTATCCGGCAGTTCGGATCTTCCGGCATATCCTGGATTCATCGTGACGCAGAGGAAGCAGTTGGGATTCAACTTCAATTCGGTGCCTTCGAATATGAAGACGTCAACGTGACTCTGGACTGCTCTGATGATGCAGAGGATCTGCTGTGCAACTACCGATAGAACTTCCAACTCGATCCTGTTGAATTCGTCGAAACACGACCAAGCCCCAGACGACGCCAGACCTTTGAAGAACTTGCCCATCGCGATGTAATCCAGGCCGTCCGAGCAGTTGAAAACGACGCATTGAACAGCCAGTGCTTTCGCCAGATCTTTCGTCGTTTCCGTCTTCCCAGTTCCGGCAGGTCCCTCCGGAGCGCCGTTGAGATTCAGCTGGAATGCTCCCATCAAAGTCCTGTAGCATCTATCCGTCAGTGGAGTTATCACCAGTCTGTCCGTGTTGCCGAGGTACTCGTACGCATACTTCGCCATTGCATTCACGATCGAAACAACGACATCGCCATTGTTGTTTGAAGTAGTAGCAGCAGCAGCAGCAGTAGTAGTAGCAGTGATAGTATCATTACCATCTTTGATATAGTATCTTAACTGTGCCATCCAGGCAAAATCCTTCTCATTTTCGATCTTTCTATCTGTTAATTCTTTCACCACGTCACGCGCGTGAACGTCTATGACCACCAGGGCGCCCAGTGTAATACGCTGGTGGCGAGTCAGGCTACCTCTTATCTGCCAATGAATGGATAAATTAATGAGTGAATGAATGAATGGATGAATGAATGAATGAGTGAATGAATGAATGGATGAATGAATGAGTGAATGAATGAATGGATGAATAAATGAATGAGTGAGTGAATGAATAAATGGATGAATAAGTGAGTGAATGAATGAATGGATGAATGAATGAGTGAATGAATAAATGGATGAATGAGTGAATGAATGAATGAATGAATGAGTGAATGAATAAATGAATAAATGAATAAGTGAATGAATAAATGGATGAATGAATGAGTGAATGAATGAATGAATGGATGAGTGAATGAATGAATGGATGAATGAGTGAGTGGATAAATGAATGAGTGAATCATCTACAACAACTAACCAATTCGACAATTTCAGAGAGTTGTTTATTGAGATGAGTCTCAAACTCATTCAACGTCCTCTCCTTAATTGATCTATGAACACCGGCCGTCCAATGGATTTGCGAAACGCACAAGATCACCTAATTAACATAAATTATTCGTGAGTTTATAATTAATAAGATAATTAACTTTATAACTTAATTCATTCAAAAGTTTATGTAATCATTTTGCGGCGTTTTAGCTTTTCAACCTTACGCAAATACACGCATGTTCATAAAATAATTAACATAATCTAATCAGAAGTTAACGAATTCATAAACTTATGTCTTGACGAGTTAGTTTATTTAAATTTCAACAAGTTAACTTATTCATAAACCAATAACAATTATATACATACTTGACCAGGCCAGTTCATCACCCAGTGAACTCTACTCTCCTTCAGGTAAGCCTGTATTGATGATAATGATGGTGATGACGATAGTGATGATGATGACGATTGTGTGATGATGATGATAATGATAACATCAGACACATCACCATCATCACAACCACCACAGCCACATCATCGCCACAGCCACATCATCGCCAACTCAACTTACGGCGTTCGACTGCTGGATGACGTGCTTGATTGACATGAGCATGACCTGCTGGACGTTCAGCAACCACTTCTCCACGGCTCCTTTAGTGGCTTGCGTGCAGACCACTTCGCTAAATACAACCTGCGTATGTGTGTGTGTGTTTGTATGAGTGTGTGTTTGTTTTAGTGAGTGTGTGTGTGTGTGTGAAGTATAACGTGTGGTTGGTCACCTTTTCAGATTCCGAACTTCGCATAGCAGTGATTTCTAATTTTTCATTGAATTCTAAACTGCCTATGCCTTGGATGAATGAATGAGCCAGCGAATGCATGAAGAAATTAATGAAAAAGAATGAATGAATGAATGAATGAACAAATGAATAAACAAAAGAGTGAATGAATGAATAAACAAATGAATGAACAAAAGAATGGGTGAATGAATGAACGAACGGTAAATTAACGAATGATAGCTGTTGTTTCAAATTTTTCATTAAATTCTAAGCTACGTAAACCAGAAAGAACGAATCGGTGAATGAACGACCAAACAATGCATGAATGAATGCATGAATGAATTAATTAATGAATGAATGAATCAGTAAATGAATGAATGAACAAACGAACGAACGAACAAACTCAAACACGCACCTTCAAAACATTTCTTAAGGTGCGGTTGAACCCGGGTAGGATCTTTCGTCTCGGATAATATCTCCAGCATCTCATCGTTCGACAAGAAGAAAAATCTGATTACGTCATCATCATCATCATCATCGTCGTCATCATCATCATCATCGTGAACACCATCACCATAACTGTCTGAAGATACAATACAATATCATCATCGTATTCTTCTTCATCATCATCCACATCAACCTTATAAACATCATTATCACAATCGCCACAACCGTCGTCATCATCACCACCACCATCATCACCATAATCATTATCATCACCACAATCATCATTATCATCACCACAATCATCATCATCACAACCTCGGGAAGAAGAGCCTCTTCAGTTCCAGGTACATGTTGAGACCCTTGTTTATGGAATCCAACAGAGTCGTGCATTCTTTCAAGATATCCAATAAGTTCGGATAACTTGTTGCTGATAACACCTGACGATGTTGTTGTTGTTGTGATTGACCAACTACGTCATCAACCAATCAGTCATATGACCAGTCAACTAGCCAATTATCAGCCAATCATCTTCGAGATAACCAAGTAGCCAGCCAATCAACAGCCACAAGACCAATGGACCAGCTAAAAAGGCGACTAACCAGCTAGTTACTTGACCAACCAATCAATCAACCAACCAATCAACAACCAATTGACCAACCAATCAATCAATCAGGTGACCAATCGACCAACCAATGGATGCAGGACGGTATTTTTCATGATTCCTTTCCACTTGAGATCAACAGCTGCAAACATTCTCGCCTCGTCTGGCATTTGCCTGACCAAAAGTTATCCTGACGTCATCATCATCATCATCATCGTCGTCACTATAACTGCAATCATCATCATCACCATCACTGCAATCATCATCATCACCATCACTGCAATCATCATCATCATCACCACCATCATCATCACCATCACTTCAATCATCGTTATCATAACCTGGTGATATCTTCCGAAGCGAATATAGGATCCAAGTAGAGCCACTGTGCTTGTACCTTGAGCCACTCGACAATGCCGTCTTGAATGAAGGTCATCCGCTGCTCCCACTGCTTTATTTCCTTCTCGAATGGTCTGATGAATGGCGAGCCGCGCATCGTTTGCGTTTTCACGATCTTTGGTTACGGGTTTTTTTCGTTTGAATTTGTGATGTGTTTGGTGTTGGATTAATATTTATTTAGTTTTCTTTGGTTCGCTTGGTTGTTGGAATCGTTGGTTGTGTGTGTGTGTGAGTGTGTGTGTGTTCGTCTGAGGTCTTTGTGTTTGTGAGCTTCGGCTACGTTTCTAAATTTTGTTTTTTTAAAGATTCTTTTTTTGTTTTTTCACGTATTCGCAGTCTTTGGTTCGTTGAGTTGTTCCACAACTTAATTTCATATCAACATCATCATCATCATCATACCTGTCACCATTATCATTACCATCATAATCATCACCTGATCCTCCAATAACATTTGTATCTCGTCAACAGAAGCCAGTATGGACACGCCTGATGATGCATCAAAACTATTATTATTTATAATAAATATTATTATAATTATAATGATTTATCGTCATCATCATCATCATCATTATCATAACCTGTTTCTCTGTAGAGAGTGAGATTGAATTTGACGTTCGTCCAATCATCCAGCATTTTTTTCTTGGCTTTTTCCAGAGAAAACTCCTTTAGAATCATCATCATCATCATCATCATCTTCGTCGTCGTCATCATCATCATCATCTTCGTCATCATCATCATCTTCGTCATAACAATAGATGTCTCGACAGTCCCAAGAATGTCTAACCGACTTATCATTAAGAACCTATTAGGCATTTCAATCCCTGACATATTGTACTTTTATGAAGACACAGCAAATATTTTGCTACAAAATATTATTATTCCCATCCTCCCAAATATCGCCCACATCAGCAGCAGCAGCACCACCATCAGCCACCGACGCCACACTCACCTTGGAAGCGGACGCACTGATAGCCTCGAACTGCTCCATGTAGGGGCCCAAGTTCAAGGTCAGCATTTTTCTCAAGGTCGTACTGGAATCTGGTGTGAGGTCGAACTTGGCAAGGTCACTCATCTGCGTCCAGTGTCTCTGCCTTAGGCCCAGGTTGCATAGGACCATTATTGTCGGAATGTGATTCTGGCGACGATGATCATCATTGTAAGTTATTTGTTGCTGATCGTGATTGTTAGTAACAAAGTCATTGAAACATGAAATTAGACAAGCTATGAATGACAAGACCAAAAGCTGAAACAACAGCAGATGCCCACCCTGAACTTTTTCATGGATTCTAAGACAGCGTTGATCACTTGGAAGACAGCTGGCTCTTCGTCTAGAAACAGCGCTACATCATTTGCCTTTGTCGTTGTTGTCGCTGTTGTTGTTGATATTAATGATGATGTTGTTGTTGTTGTTGTTGACGTTGCTGTGAAATATTTTTGTCAAAACATATAAATTTGACTGATTTAACGCTAGCGTTACATAATTAAACATCTATTTTCATTTGGTCAGCCGTTAAATCATTCATTTACTCAGTCATTCATTCATTCATTCATTCATTCATTCATTCATTCATTCATTCATTCATTCATTCATTCATTCATTCATTCATTCATTCACTCACTCATTCACTCACCTTCCATTTTCGATTTTCCATCTTTAACAATGGCTGCCGCTTCCAAAACTGCCAAACCTATTTCGACTGCACTTTGTATACCAGAGCTACTACCACCACCGCCACTACTACTACTGTTATCAACATTGTTACTACTACCAGCTATTGCACTATTACTATCATTACTGTTATCAGTAGTAGTAGTTGTAGTAGTGGCATTAGTAGTAGAAGCAGCAGCGTTTGCAGCAGCAGTAGTAGTGGTAGTATTACTATTATTAGTAATTTTTTCCTTGATAGTTTTGACGGAAGTCATTATTTTAGATTGGGTTTTTTTCTTGCGTCTATTTATAAACTGCTTGTTGACCTTGTACATTTCCTGGGCGTATTCCTCAAGGTCAGCCTCTATCTGCCCGGCAGAAAGTTCTAGAAACGTTCCGTCCATCCATCTTTGTAGTTTGTGGATGAACGAATGAATGAATGAATAAATGAACGAATGAATAAATGAATGAATGAATGAATGATTGAATGAACAAATGAACGAAGGAATGGATGAATGATAGCATCACAAACATCATTGACATTACCGTTTTTCAGCTTTCCGCCATTTTGAGACCACGCTGAACAATCTGTAGAATAACTCGAGTGATACGGCGATATCTTCTGCTTCACGAAAGTCTGTGATTGGACACTTGTATATCGACTCCTCCCTATTTATCCATTTGCCTGAATGCGAATGGTCAGATTTGAAATTTAAATTCAGCGAGAATGTGATTGGAAGAATTAGAAATTGAACTGACAAATCAGCGAGTGTGATTAGCTTCACGGAAAACAAACTAACAACCCATAAAAATGCTATTCAAATATTTGATCATCAACCAAATAAATCGTTAATTTAGTAATCAACTAGTGAGTTGAAAAATTAATTAATAAACCAGCCAATAACAACCAGTCAGCCAACCAGCCAGCCAATGACAACCCACCTTTCTCGATGGCGTCATTCAACCTCTGCTGCACTGACTTCACGCACGTAGCGTAGAAGGCCATCTGGTCGACATCGACGTAATCGTTGAACTCCTGACATCTGTCGCGAATTTTCTTCAACTCCGCGAAGAGTTGCTCGCTCGATGAGGACAACATCTTCCTCGCCATCACTTTCAATGACTCTGCTTTCTGGCGCAGCATTTGGGAAACTTATTTTTGATAACTCAAAACAACATAAATTAACAATTTTAATCAAATTAGTTCAATGTCATTTTGATCACTTGAAACACTGAAAAAAAAAATGCAAAAAGCACCACCTCTCCAGAAAGTTCGAATATCGGACTAATCTCACTGGGCCAGAGAACCACCCTCGTGTTCGACGCCATCCGCTCTTTACTAAATAGGTAGCAACTCAGTAGCGAAACTAAATGTTGGGCAAATTCGCTGACGCGAATTTTCAATTCGACGAGTTCTTTTGTGCGGGCAGTGTCGATGAATTGAATCAGTTCGACCAGCTGCTCGCTGTTGTCTGGCACCTCTGAGGCCCGCTTGTATATCTGCTCGTACTCGCTTATCAAGCTGGTTGATGGTGGTGTGGTGAGATGTTGATAAGATGGTGATGATAGTGGTGCTGAAAATTATGTCAAACTGACGACGGCCATGATGAAACAAATGTGCTAATATAAAAATAAAACTGCCAATTAATTATACGATAATATTTCTATTCCTCTAAAACAAATCACCAAATGTGCCATTATGATCCCCACCACCACCATCATCATCTTCCTCCTCACCCTCCTCATTATCACCTGGAACTCTCTAGAGCAAGATTCCCAGCCAGCCTGTCGAGAATGTAGCTGGAGAGCAGCTTGCAGCCCTTGCACAGTTCCTGCTTCAAGTCGCTGCTGTCCACCACAACCAGACCGAAGTGCACCAGTCGAGGCAGCGTCGAGATCTCCCGTGAGACTTTCTCGAACTGTTCTGACATCTTGCGGCAAGGTAGGGAATTGGCGGGAAAAGTTTTTAAATTCGGCAGGAAAAAATTTTTCAACAAGAACAGGATTTCACATTTTGAGGGAAATTGTGTATGAAAATTTGTGGAAAATAAGTTTATGTATCAATATTTTTAGAATCTGGTTAGCTATGATACGATTGCTAAATGAATGAATGAATGAGTGAGTGAGTGAATGTATGAATGAGTGAGTGAGTGAATGAATAAATGTGTGAATGAATGAATGAATGAATGGGTGAATGAATGAATGAGCGATATAGCTATTTAACCTTAATTAATTCCTGAGTGAATGAATGAATGAGCGATATAGCTATTTAACCTTAATTAATTCCTCAGTTGAAGTGCTGTCCGCGTCGAAACGGTTGATGACGTCATTCATTGCATCACCATTGACAACGTAGCCGTACGTATTTTCTGGGTGGATGAATAAAATGAATGAATGAATGAATGGATGAATGAATGTATGAATGAATTGCTAGATGAATAGATGGATGGGTAAATGAATTTTATGAACATAAGAACGAACTAATGAGCACTAACTGAACCAGTTCAGAAGTTCGAGGGGCTGTTTGAAGTGACCTTCCATACTTGACCTAATTGAAGCGTGAATGTTGCCAACTTCGTCGTCGTTCAGTTTGCAGTTGATGTACCTAAAATCGTCATCATCATCATCGCCAGTGACGTCATCATTGTGGTTTTTGTTGTTGTGCTTTGTCGACGAGCTAACTGTCGGAACCTAATAAATACCATCATCGTCATCATCATCACCATCTCCACCACAACCATCATAATCATCATCACCATCAACACCAACAACAACGTCATCATCATCACCATCATTTACTAACCAACTGCAGAGTATTAGCAATTTTATCGACGACCTCACAGAAAGCTCCTTGCACGTCTGGCGTTGTCGGATAGAACTGCACAGAGCCATCTTCGTAAGTTAGAGCCACTAAAACCATCGGTATCAAATTGTTGTTGCTGCTGTTGTTGTTGCTGTTGTTGTTGTTGATGTTGTTGTCGTTTTCGATGTTGTTGTTGACGTTTTCATTATTATTTTCATGTCTTTTGAAAAAGTTTGACGACTCTGACGTGATATATTTGACTGATGTTATCAACTGCAGCCAGGTATCAACCGACCTTTCAATTAGATCTCTCAACTGGGGATGAATGATTGAATGAATGAATGAATGATTGAATGAATGAATAAATGAATGAATGAATGAATAAATGAATGAATGAATGGGTAGATGAATGATTGAATGAAACAAATAAATAAACAAACAACCAGTTTGGAGAATTAATGAATAGTCCATGAATGAATAAATAATTTTAAAAATAGTTAATAGAAAGAATGAATAAATGAATGAATAACGAACGATTGAATGAACGAACGAAAGAATTAAAGAATTAAAAACACGTAACCTGTATAGACATTAATATATCGAGACAACGATTGTATGACTGTAACTTAGTGCCTTTCAACTTTTCAACGTCTTTATGGCTCTCAAAAATTTTGATTATCTCAACCAGCCACCTACAATTGAAAATATTATTTGTAATTATTCATAATTAATTGTCTCTATAATTAATTATCAATTAATTAACTAATTCTCTCTTAATTAACTCTCAGAATGCGCATTATTAGATTTATCATCTTCACGAACATCATCATCGTCATCATCATCAGTACTAACCCTGTCATCGTCCTCTCTTCAAAGCTATCACACTCTCTTGAGACAAATGATCTCAGGTATTTTATAGTGAATGGGGACTTTTGACTACCGGAAATAATAATAACAATAATAATAATAATAAAAGCAATATAGAACGTTTTACCGACCAGAGTAGCTTGAAATCACAGATGATATTCCTCCTCAGTGCTTTCTCGCCGAGTTCAAACGCAAGCCGAACGCTCGCTTTCAAGACGTGCAGATTCAACTTAATTCTCTTTCTATGCTGTTGAAATTGTTCTTTGCAGCTTCCTAATGTAATTTCTATGGTTGTTGTTGTTGTTGGCGGTGACGTCATTTTTTCAAAACTTTGATTGTTAACGTCGGTGTTGTTGTTGGTACTATGGTAATTGTTGGTGATGTTGTTGCTGTTGTTTGTATTATTGTTATTATTGACGTTATTGTTATTATTGTTAATGTTGTCGAGTTTCGGAAGGAATTTTTTAGACCTTGCTGGGTAAGCTTCATCCAGGTAAGCTCTGAACTCATCTTCTGGAACTATTCGACTTTTCACTGAAGGAATGAATGAATGAATGAATGAATAAATGAATGAATAAATGAATGAATAAACAAATGAATGTGTGCACGAACAAATTCATTCACACACACATGCCCATACATACGTACACACGCACACACACAAATACTTACTTGTAAATTCTTTCATACTCTTATGAAACATCGAGCTAATTTCATCGACCAAACCGTCTAGTACATTTTTAAACCGCTCCGAATTCTTGTACCGACTCGGTATCGACTGGATAAGTTTCGGTATCCAGGTATCCGGGATTTGTGGTAGCGGTATTTTATCGACTCTCTCTCTTAACAGTTCGTAGTTTACCATCTGCTGTCTCCTTTTGCTCACCAGCTATTTGTGTTGTACGTGTGTGTGTGTTTGGATGTGTGTATTTGTATGTCCCTCTGTGTGTTTGAATGTACGTGTGTGTGTGTTTAGTACGCACTGCTCGTGTATGTGAGTATACCAATACAACAGCATGACATTGTAACGATAATTTCATAACCCAATCAATCACTAACTTCCGGAAAATGTAGAGATGATGATGATGATGGTCGTGGCGGTGATGAAGATGATTGTTGTCGCATCAAGAAGACATTCTTAGCTCTGTTGTATCTCTCAACTGCTTTGTCCAATCTGTTGAAAACGATGATGATGATGACGATTAAAATGATGATGATGATTAAAGTGATGACGAAAAAACAAACCACATACATGGCCCTGTTCTCCAAAGCTTTCTTCTTATTGGCCAGCCGAAAATTGAGCAAACTGCGATTGGTCTTGTAGTCTTTGGGGTCCGGATACCTAATTGGCGGCAAGTAGACAGACCCATCCGGCTTAAAAACCGGAAATTTGGGAAGTTTTTTAACCCGAGATATCTCGCTATTCTCATTATTATTGTTACTTTTATTATTATTATTTACATTATTAGTTGGTCCCAACATGGTAGATATTAATATTATTAATATTTCATAAGTATCAAATTATTATCTATATAAGTCGAAATTTATTATTCAATATATATATATATATATTTATTAAAAGTTATTAACGACTATGATTTTAATCGTGAATCTTATTTGATCTTAAAAGCAAGAGATTGTACTGTACGTATGTATGTACGTATGTATGTATGTATGTATGTATGAATGTATGTATATATGTATGTTTGTATGTATGTATGTTTGTATGTACGTACGTAAGCGTATCTCGAGTTTTAATCAATAAAAGCAAGCGATCGTTGTCATGGTGACAAAAATATATTTGTATTATTATTATTATTATTCATTATTATTCTCGTAAATGAAGAGAAAAAAAAATGAAAAAACAGTCAAATTATTAATAATAATAATAACGGTTGAGTCTTTTTAAGTTAATAATTCACCTGTATAACAGCGTAATAAGGAATGAATGAAAGAGTGGATGAATGAATGAGTGAATGAATAAATGAATGAATGGATAAATCAATAAATAAACGAACAAGACGACAAATGAGCCAACTAGATTAGCAAGCTGATAAATAAATAAATTAATTAATTACGTTAATGAGTTAATTAATTACGCTTATGAGTTTACTAATAACTTCGTTAATTAGATCATTAACGTTAATAAATTTAATAATTTATGATAAAAAAAAAACAATATATTTATTAAATCTCAATCTCAGCTAATTTAGCCAAAACTAAAACGGAACCGACATACCGGGCTATGAAGAAATAAAAGATGAATGAATGAATGAATGATTGAATGAATGAATGACCGAATGAATGAATCAATGAATGATTGAATGAATGAATGATTAAAGAATTCATTAATAAATAATTGAACAAATGAATAACTCTACATCAACAAAAAATCAATCAGTTAAGAGGTACTGGAGTACACCCTAATGGCAGAAAGATGAACGTCAAAGAGTTTATTGGTTATAAAGATAGATTCAGTTTGTAAGCTTTTATTAGTTAATTAAATAGATGAACTAAATTAATGAATAAATTATCATGGGTATGATTTTCATAACGCATCAATTAACAAATGGCGAAAATACAATGGAGAAGACTGCAGTGGAAAAGCTGAAATGACACATAGTCATGCATACACACACACACACACACACACACACACACACACACACACACACACACACACACACACACACACACACACACACACACACACACACATGTATGTGCGCGCGTGTGTCTAAATATGAGTATACATAAACTGAACAAACAATATATCATGTTCTGCACATAAATATATTGCCTTACACTGTTTTATAAATTGCATTTTAATGTAAAATAAATATTACACCCCAAACATCTTCAATGAAATCATTACAATGATCCTCTTCTTCTTCTTCATCATCATCCTCTCAACTACCACTAATCTCTCCTAGATCTACTCAGGTACATCTGGTTTTTAAGATAGGCGCTATATAATGACTTGGCGTGTACGATGACGTTAACTGCATTGTGCTTCCTAACTTTCCTATCGTAAAAGATGGCAGTGTCGTTGAAATCCAGCATGGCCGACATGATGTGGTCTCTGTGAGTTAAAAGCAGCGAGAGGCAGAGGAACATCAGGAAGGAGTTTCCGTGTCCTATCTCATCCGGAGGCGGAAGTGGGGACAAAGATTGTGGCGATTTGTTGTTGTTGCTGATGTTGTTGTTGAGGTGGCCATTGTTGTTGCTGTTGCTACTGCCACTGGCGTTGATGTTTTTGTTGTTGACGTTGTTGTCAATTTCGTCACTGTCGTCAGAAGATGTTGATGTTTTACTGTTGTTGTTGTCGTAAAGCAGAGAAGTTTTTTCATTGGCATAGTCGTCATCAATGTCGTCTTTGTTGTTGTCCTGGTGATGAAGATGACGACGACGACGATGATCGGGGTGGTGGTTGTCGTAATGATTGTTTGTAGTCGTTGCTGCTGTTGTTGACGTCGTTGAAGTCGCTGCTGCAGCAGCTGATGAAGCGGCGTTTGATGCTGTTGATGACATGAACGAAACAGAACTCAAGCCATGTCTTTCAACATCATTATTTAGATCATCAGTATTTTTAACATTAACATTAGTACTACCAGTAGAAGCAGTAGTAGAAGAAGCCGCAGAAGTAGCATAAGTAGTAGTAGCAGCAGTAGCGGCTGAAGTTGTAGTAGTAGCAGCAGTGTTGATAAAGATGACGTCACTAGTGAGACAGTTATCAATATCGTGCCTCGTCCTATCTACAATCATATACTCCTCAATGTTAACATCAACAACATCAGCAATTGACGCTATCATATCATCGCATGGACTTCTTATGCTATCATGTGGCAACGACGATGATGATGCAGTAGTAGCGGCAGAAGTAGTAGTAGCTGTAGTAGCTGTAATAGCAGCTGATGACGATGTTGTTGGCTGTAATGGTGATGATGATAAACGTGATGATAATGATTTTAGTAGCGATAAAGATGATGGTGGTGATGACGACTGACGATTACGATGATGACGGTGATGATTGCTCTTAGTACTGTTCAGTTGTTTCGAATGTGTCGGTGGTGGCGGCGGTGGTGGCGATATGGACGTTGACGTCCGCGCAGTTGTAAGCACGACAGAGTCGTCTCTACTATCGTTAGCGACAGAAGTCAAACTAGTAGCGACATTAGCAATCGTAGTTGTAGTGTTGTTAGTAGTAGTAGTAGTAGTAGTAGTAGTAGTATAAGTAGTAGTAGTAGTAGTTGTAGTAGTAACTGAAGTAGTAGTAGTAGTAGTAGCAGATGTAGCGACAGCTGTAGCAGCCGTGAAAGGCAAGCTCCTAGTAGCAGGGCCCACGGAGCTCTTCCTCTCCTCCCTACATCGGTTCTTCAAATTCAAATAACTCGTGAAATATCGATAAGCCGGCGACGATAGCGATCCTGGCGAGGTGGAGAGGACGACGAAGTCCTCATCGACCAGCGGAACCCCGGAAACGGAATGAGGTTCCCTGATCGGCAGCGTACTCCACATTATCTCCAGGACCAGCATGGCGTCGTCCAGCGGAAATTCCCTCTTCATCTCTAACAATATCCACCGGTAGCAGAAAAACAAATCCGGACCGATCCGATGTTTGCGCAGGTGCTGAGCGAACTCCCAATCATGATGATCCAGAAGGAGGGAGAGATGTTCAAATTTGCCCATGATCAGTTCACCATCCGGAGCAAAGTTCCCCCTCAGTCGATCCATGAGGGAGCAGAAGCAGATGTAGGCCGTCGGTTCGTCCTTTTGCACGACCAGAAGGGGCGAGGCCAGGTCACTCATGCCCTGGCAGTAGGAGGTGGAAGGGTGCGTAAGGGCGTAGGTCACTAGGAGGTTCAGTAAGCTGATGCTATTCTGATTGTCGTCCTTTCCTGTGAGTGTGCGTGTGTGTTTGTGTGTGTGTGTGTGCGTGCGTGCGTGTGAGCGTGTGTGTCTGTGTGTGTGTTTCTGTGTTGTTGGATCATCACGTTATAAATGAGTTATGTTTATTTTTTATCTGTTCATTTCAGAATGATATATAGCTAGCTTTGCAGCTGATGTTGGCGCTAATATGCAAACAAACAAACAAATAGACAAACAGACAGACAGACAAACAAACAAGACACGCAACAAACATTCAGACAGTATGTTCAAACACAGTCTCACAATCCCACTAATTCATCACCTGAGAACCAGAATCCGACCAACCTGAGAAGTAAGGATGGTGTCGGTCAGTTCGAAGGACATCCTTCTTGACGGCGCAGATGACCTGTCGATCCTCCCCTGACATCAGGCCGTCCATCAGCTTCCTCTTCCATCCATCACGAAGTTTGTAATAATCTTTCGATTTTGTCTGTGTGTGTGTAGGTGTGTGTAAGTATGTGTGTACGTGTGTAAACATGTATGTGTGAGAATGTGTGAGAAAGAGAGAGAGAGAGAGAGAGAGAGAGAGAGAGAGAGAGAGAGTGCGTTATAAACGAATGGAAAGATAAACCTTAATTGAAAAATGCAAATTTTCGTGTCACACAAAATCAAATAGTTATTTGAAACAATTAACTGGAATGAAACAAACAAACAAACGAACGAATAGGCACACAACCAACCGTACATACAAACACACAACCGTACATACATACAAACAAACAATCAAGCGTACATACAAACAAACAAACATACAGACAAACAATTGTACACACATTTAGATAGTCTATCCTCTCTTTACCAGTCATGTCGTGTGGGTAAACGTTAAGCAAATGTCGCCACACAACTTTCCTCAAGGAACATTCTACACCACCTTGATACACGCTCAATCTGAATGAACAAATGAGTAAACGAACTAATGAATGAATGAATGAATGAATAAACGAACTAATGAATGAATGAATGAACGAACGAACCAATGAATGAATAAATGAATGAGTCTATAAATAATTCAAGAATCAATCAATCAATCAATCAACTAAACAATCAACTAATAAATCAATCAACTAATAAACCAATCAACTAATAAACCAATCAACTAATCAATCAATCATTTATATATCCTTTCATTCATTCATTCATTCATTCATTCATTCATTCATTCATTCATTCATTCATTCATTCATTCATTCATTCATTCATTCATTCATTCGTTCGTTCGTTCATCCATTCATTCATTCACCCAGCCAACCTAAATTTATTCTGCTCAATCAGCACACCAACAGGACTTTGAAAACTTCTAAAATCGCCATCAGACAACGGCGAACTCAGAGGTGGCAAATGCAAGTGGTTATTATACTTTCTAAAACTACCGGTGGCCGTAGTAGCAGCTGTACTAGCGGCGATAGTAGTAGTAACAGTAGTGGTGGTAATACTATTACTAAAAATAGTATTATTCAAATTTGTAGAAGCGACTGTGGTAGAGAAATTAGCAGCCGGTTGTGGCTGTGGCGGTGACTGCTGGTCATCTTGCTTCAGGCCTTCAGGAAAGGTTTTAGTGGTAATGATAACAATGATAATGACAGGAGGAAAAATAATAGCAATAAAAACTGACCAATAGCTTTGGAGACAGTCTGAACGGTTTTTTCGAAAAAGTTATTCAGCGTTTTTGAGAAAACTTTATTGGCATTTATGACGGTAGTTGTAGTTGGCAAAGTAAATATCATTGTTGTTGTTGATGATGATGACGTTGTTGATAATGATGATGATGATGATGATGGTGGTATGGAGTCTGGGGACTTTATCACATCCCAATCATCGTCAATGCCGGATTCGTATGGTTTTAAATCCACTTTTAGACACAAATATGGAGTGCTGGAGCTAAAAATGGCGGCGTCTAGATCCCAGTCTGACAACATGGAGAGGTAGACGTCGCTACCATCGTCATCTGTGGCCAGGTAACTAATCGTGAAGTCACTGTGGTCAGGGGTTAGAATGAAAAATAAATTTCTGGGGCGTATTACTTTTTAATTTTGCAATATTTAATGAATAAAACTGAATTTTAATATGAATTATTTATGATTAAATGTAAATTATATATATATATATATGTATATATATATATATATATATATAGTGTTGTTCAAGGGTATATATTATATATTTATGCCTCTGGCCACATACACAATATATATATTATAATTGCAATAATATAATTTCATAATAACTTAATATTTGAAACAAGTATTATACATATACCCAATAGATAATTAATAATTATAATATGATATTTATCCTCACAATAATAATATTTATAAAATACCTTTTAATATTAAAGGCCCTGATTAGCAAACACTGCAGAATGCTGAATGAGGTTATCTGGGGATCCACGCACATCTTCTTGTACTCTGGCTGCTTCAGACCGTCACATTTCTGATAAATTATTATAATGATATGCATCTAATTAATAAATTAATAATTTTCAGAAAATTCGAGTAAGAAAAATTAAAAAGGCAAGCTTTGTTTAATCATATCGTATAGAATACGGTCTGCTTCCAACATTAAATTACCACTATATATATTATAATACATATACATAAAATCTTTTTTTGGTGAAATTATATTTAATTGTCTACCATACTTTTAGTTTAGAGTATTAGTATCAAATCAATATAGAAAAATATAAATTATATTTTTCATTATTTATTAGTAATCATTTGTTTATAATTTTATAAAATATTACTGATTACTGAATTAATAATCACTTAGTAATTGTAATAGTAATTGCTCAACTAATTACTGATAAAAGTTTAGGCTTTAGGTTTAGGCCAATAATGGCAATGAAGTAAAAGGATTGTCAGATTATTTCAGTTTTTTTATAGCTTAGTACATACAATTCTTGCTTAACTGTTATTTTAAATAATACTCACTTTGGATTCCAATTCATATTTAATTTAGATTTTTTTTAATAATTTAGAATTGTAGAATAACATCATGAATTAGCTTTTATTCATTATTATTTATACAATTAATAAATAATTTAATTGATTTGCACAAGCATTTGATTAATATTTAATTTAAAAATTAAATTAAAACTTATTTAAGTTTAATTAAGACCTAAAACTAGTACAGATACATACAGTTACAGACTTACCTTACAGTACTGATCAAGTGATCAAACTCAACCAATGGACCAATACAAACTAATTTTTTTAAATATCCCAAAATACTAACTTTGACTCTAATTCTGACGACTTCTTTTTCATGTGACATTTTAATTTTCTAAATTTTATATAATTTTGGGAATTTAATTGTCTCTCTGTGTTTTTATTTTTAAATACAAAGTATAATAATGTATGGAAAGCATTAATTAATTTTACAATTTAAAAATTAAACTTATTAATTGACTAAATGTTTTAAATTAAATAATTATTAATAAATTCACTTAAATTAATTTAATTTAGTATAAAAAATGTTTAAAAAAATAACTTTAACTTGCCATCATCGTTGCCATGAGAACCAAATTATTGCTTCTTCTATTCTGTATTGATAAAAGTTCAAATTTTAAACTTTTTTTCATTATATTAAACATTTTTGAGAGTTTTAAATTAAATTTTTTAAAATGAAAAGTAATTTTGTCAACGATATTAAAGAGAAAGATGAACTCAAGAACGATATTTTGAAGGAAATTGTAAAAAAGTTTTTTCATTTTTTCATCATCTGTGTTTTGTTTTTAAAGATTAAAATTTAATCCTATTATTACTGAATGACAATCCTATCTAACGGTTTAAATATGATCAAGCTTTATAAATGAAACTAATTATCACTCCAGTTTTTTTCTTATCAAACCCTAATTCACTAATTCAGTGTTTCAGCAATGGGCTTAAATTCAACCGCTTAACTCAAGATGGGCTCTCTTGTTTAACTTTGGAAATGTTTTTCTCTGGCCTTCCTAAAATGTGCGGATTTGACTATTTTCCTAATCTTCAATCTCTCTGCATTGTCGGCCAGTCGATCGATAAGATTGAGAACATTAGTTCACTTTTTAAGTTGAAAGAATTGTGGATTGTTGAATGCTGTGTTAAAGTAGGTTTTATTTATTGTCATTATGACTTATGAGAACTTGTGTGACGAAGTTTACAAGTTAATGAATTCATTCATTTAGTCATTAGTGAGTTTATTCATTCATTATTTGTTATTATCATTATTATTATTACAAATATTCTCAACTACAATTATATGGACAGGAAATATGTGGTCTGGGATCTTTACTGAGCCTGCAAAAACTCTACCTATACTCGAATAAGATTTCGAAAATGCAGAATCTGCAATCCCTTAAAAGCCTTCGAGTCCTGGCTCTCAATGATAATCCTATCAGTAAGATTCAGGTAACAACAACAACAACAACAATAATAATAATAATAGTAATAATAATAATGATGATGATGATGTTGTGGAATTCTAAATACTTTCAGGGTCTTAAAGAGTTGACGAATTTAATTGAATTAAATTTAGCTGACTGTGAGATAGAAAGAATAGGTAAGCCGTCATCATCATCATCGTCGTCGTCATCATCATCATCATCGTCGTCGTCATCATCATCATCATCGTCGTCGTCATCATCATCATCATCATTATCAGGATCATCGTTAAGTCACTTGATCAATCTTGACACTTTGGACTTATCAGGCAATCCTTTATTCTTATTGGATGTTAGTCTCATTAATATTCATTTTATAAATATTCAAATAATTCAAATAAATGTTAGTCTCATTAATATTCATTTTATAAATATTCAAATAATTCAAATAAACTTTTATTCAGCAAAGAAAATACATCACATGGAGACCCGAAGTTACCACTTGTAGGGCCACCAAAACAGAAATTTGAGTCAAAAATTTGAACAAATATAAACGAAAATTTGAATTAAACATAAACTATCAATCAGTAAAGTACTAATTACAATGTAGATAATAATGTAAGTAGGAAAAAACTCAACAGTTAATGAATGATGAAGAATGCTTCGTTAAAATCAATTTTTAAACAGACTGCTTGAATGAGCCAGGCGTAGTCGAGTTTTTTTTAACATGGATTGGTTTAGCAAGTTCAAAAGGCGACACGTCACATTAAAAACTGAGTTAATGACAAAATTTGTGCCTGGCTTAAGAAAGTAAAAGTCAGAGAGGATGGTATCGTACGTAGAACGACGATTTAATAATTTATTAAACTGCTGAAGTACTGATGGGCAGTAATTTAATATGATTAATTTATTAAAATCCGTTAAGGTGAGCAGTATATGTAACTGACCAACATTTAGAATTTTAGATAATGCCAAAAAATTACTTACATGATCAGACTTAGCTAAACCATACAAAATACGGATGAAATAATTTTGACAAAGAGTTAAAATACGATCATTAGATTTTGTACCAAAGCCCCAGATAGATGTACAATAAGAGAAACAGGGCGAAACAATCAAATTATACAATGTTAATAAAATATGTTTAAGAAACTAAGATCTGAGTCGGAATATTAAACATAAATTTTTTGTAATTTCTTGAGAAGCAAATTAAACATGATCAGACCATGACAAATTGATAGTAAGGATGATGCCTAAAAATCTAGTAGATTGAACCCTATTAATGGATATGTTATCTAATGATAGCTGAAGATTTACGATATTCGTACGAATTTTGGGTCCAAATAAAATAAAATGAGTTTTAGCAATGCTGATTCTTGTTGTATACATTGTGTACAAACCCAGTTGTATACATTAAATAATTTTTAATATCTCTAAGCCAATCAGAACGCGCCATTTTTCATCAACTGATTAATTCATTTTTATTGTTTCTTCATTCGTTCATCTATCGATCTATCTATGTATTTATCTATCTGATCATTCGTTCATCTATCGATCTATCTATGTATCTATCTATCTGTCCATTTTTATTCATTGGATCGTTGATTGATTCATTCGACTCTTAATTCGTTTGTTCATTCATACTTTTCTATGATATAACTCTGTCAAACAATACATCCGTTTATCCATCTCTGCATTCATTCATTTATTCATTCATTCATTCACCAATCCAACCAAAGGATATAAAAAACTTAAAGACATTAACTAACTTACGGCATTTGAGTTTGAAGAGTAAAATCCATAGAAAATGCTGCCTAACCGATCTGCCTAACTACAACTTCTACGTCATACACCACGTGACCAACCTGTTGACGCTAGACGGGGAAGATGTGACTAATTCCGTGGTTAAATTATCGTCCACGGTGAGTATGACGACGATGATGATGATGTGGCGATGATGATGTGGTGATGATGGTTCAATTTTTGTCTTGTTTGGGTCTCCAATGAATTTATTTGTATAACGATGGTGCTTGTGGTGGGGGTGGGTTGTTATGATGATGATGATGATCTTCATTATGGTGATGATGATTCATCGTCGTCATCATTAGAATATGGTGAATAGGAAGCTCGTGTATTATACGATGAAGAGAAAAGCTTGCGATAAAAATTACTACAAGACGTTAAGGTTCCTCTTCAGTCATTTAGTTATTTTGTTCGTTTGTTCTTCTGTATGTTTATCTATTAATTAATTAATTAATTTATTCATTAATTCATTCATTCATTCATCAATTCATCCATTCATTCAGATGTATATCCCAAGCGAGTGACAATAAACTGAAATTCATATATGATAGACTGAGGCAACTCAACTTATTCCTCTGTGTCAAGGTGACGATGATGATGCTGCTGCTGCTACTTCTACTACTACTACTACTACTACTACTGCTAGATGATGATGACAAAGATGATAATGACGATGATGATGATAAGTACCACTACTACTATTACTACTACTACTACTACTACTGCTACTGTTACTACTACTACTACTACTACTACTGCTACTACTACTGCTGCTGCTGCTGCTGGCGATGATGATGATTTATTTTTTTACCAGCCAGATGAAGAGAATGTCAACCGTGTCAAGCCTCTCATAGAGAAATATCATCAACTCGTCCGCAAGTAACTTCATTCATAATTCATCCATTCATTTAGCCATTCATTCATTTGTTTGTTTATTCATTCATTCGTTCGTTCGTTCATTCATTCATTTGTTCGTTCATTCGTTCGTTCGTTCATTCGTTCGTTCGTTTGTTCGTTCATTTGTCCTTTCAATAATTCATTCATTCACATAATTAATATTTTTCTAATTATATAGTTATAATTAAATATAATTATTGTTTTTATTATCATTATTATCTTGAAATCATCATCATAATCAGAGTGAGCAATGATGTAGCGCTTATTGTAAGACTGGCGTCTAATGAAAGATTCTGGTCCATCGCTCACATCCAGACTGAGCTGTCGTCTTTTGGCAACATTTCATTCCAATACGGCTGTGTTAATGACGCTTGGTTGGTTGGTTGGATGGTTGGTTGGTTGTTTTATTGGTTGGTTGGTTGGTTGGTTGATTGGATGGTTGGTTGATTGGATGGTTGGTTGGTTGGTTGATTGGTTGGTTGGATGGTTGGTTAGTTGCTTGATTGATTGTTTGGTTGGTTGATTGGTTGGTTGGTTGGTTGGTTGATTGGTTGGTTGGTTGGTTGGTTGGTTGATTGGATGGTTGGTTGATTGGATGGTTGGTTGGTTGGTTGATTGGTTGGTTGGATGGTTGGTTAGTTGCTTGATTGATTGTTTGGTTGGTTGATTGGGTGGTTGGTTGGTTGGTTGATTGGTTGGTTGGTTGTTTGATTGGTTGGCTGGCTAGTTGGTTAGTTGCTTGATTGATTGATTCTTCAATAAAAAAAAACATTTAACAAAGAAAACGAACTCAACGACCAATCAAATTGAAGGTATGCAGCCTGCAAGGACCTCGTCCAATCACGTTTCTGCAGCCTCGATTACGCCAGGCAATCGTACGACAGCATAGCCGTCACCAAGGTCACCAAAGTTGAAAATGGGTCATTGACCTATAAATTTCATCACAGTATTGGTCAGAAATGTTCTGGCTCGGACGTGTCCTATTGGCCACCGACGAGGTTTGCTCGCTGTGCTAGAAATTCCCATTAACCAATCAGTAAAGAGATGCAAAACAATTAAATTAATCATCATCTTCACCATTATTATCATTTTACGATGTTTCACAACCACCATCATCATCAACACCTCCACCACCACAACCATCATCATCATCGTCATCATCATCGTCATCATCATCATCATCCTCAGACAACTGGCCTACAAAAAGGACCTGGAGTATTTATTCTACGTGTGGGAAGATGGCGATGACGTCAGCAGTGAACTGATGACGATTGTTAAGGATGGAGTGACGAGACGAAGGAAGAAGAAAATGAGTGGCAGGAGAAATAACGCGAAAATGACGATGACAGATAAAAATAACTCAGCCAAAAATAGCTCGGCTAAAAATAGTTCGGCTAAAAATAGCCCAATTAAAATCCCAGCCAATGACACTAAAGTAACGGAGATGACGACAAAGATGAAAGAAAGAGGTGATAGTAATGATGCCCTTAAGAATGCCGGTTATGGTAATGATCTTCGTAGTGCTGGTTATGATAATGATCGCAGCAGTGTTGGTGACCGTTATGATAATGATTACGTAGTTTACGGCGACGGTTATGATAATGATGATGATAACAAATTTGGCGATGATGATAATGATATTAATAATAATAAAAATAACAGCAATAATAATAATAATATATACACCGACGACGATTATGATGATGATGACGAGGACGATGATGATGATGACAGTGTTACAAATGTATGTCACCTCACAAATAGCATTGCAATTGCGGATAATATAAGATTCAACAACAACAACAACAACAATAATAATAATACTACTACTACTAATAATAATAATACTACTACTAATAATAGTGAAGACAGCAGCAACAACAACAATAAAAAAAAGAATACTATACAGAAAAAAAATCTCGCCAACCGGAAGAGAGCAATCGGAAGTATAGGCGCAGATAAAAATAACTCGATGACGTCATCGTCGTTATTAGCAGCATCATCATCACCGCCGCTGCTGCTTTTGTCATCATTATCATCATCAGTACCGCAACCACCACCACCACCAACACCACAGTCATCGTCATCATCATTTCTATACGACGGGCTGAAGAGAGGAAAGTTACTGTTGATGAAAGTTTACGTTGGAAATTCAACTCCCTGGGATAAAAAGACTGAGTGAGTGAATGAACGAATGAATGAATGAATGAATGAACGAACGAATGAACGAATGAACAAATGAATGAATGAATGAATGAATGAATGAATGAATGAAATATTCATCCAATCCAGCCCGCAAGCCGCAGACTTCCCAACTGGAGTCGACAGTTTCTACCGAACAAAACAAACTCACATGCAAGCGAGGACAAACATCATCATCAGCAACCCATCATCATCATCATCATTCATAGCATTACAACCACCCATATCATCATCATCATCATCACTACTACCTACGTCAGCAGCAGCAGCAGCAACTTCATCATCGCAGCCACCATCATCATCTTTATACCTACTGCCTACTACAACATCATCATCATCACAACCGCCCACATCATCATCATCATCACCATCATCGTCACAGCCAGCCACAACAACAACAACAACAACAACAACAACAACAACAACAATGACGTCATCTCTATCGACAAACGCGCTAACGCAAAGTTCACTCACATCATCATCAGCATCATCATTTCCTCTTCAAAAATCATCGCCATCATTACCAGCACTGCTGCTCCCATCACCATCATCATCATCACCACATCATCATCAGTCATCATCATCATCATCGTCGTCGTCGTTATGTGATTGCGCCGTGAAACAGCGCGAATGGTTCATTTTGAAACCCGAGTTTGTACTACTGGAGTACATCATTGAGTTTGAATATCTAACTAAAGTGAATGCTTCCTTCTTCTATTGTTATTGTTGTTATTATTATTATTATTATTCTTATTTACCGCTGTTTATTACGGGGTTTTCTTCATTAACGCCAATGGACAATCGTCACTTATATCATTGCTATTGAGAATGTTTGCGATTTTTTGCAACTTAGGATGAGAAACATGGTCTGAGTTTTGAAGAGAGGATTGATGCCGTGTTTGATAAACAAGTTTTGCAGCGGCTACATCAGCAGCCACAGCAGCCACAACAGCCACAACAGCAGCTACAACAGCAGCGACAGCAGCAGATTCGTCTTCTAGATGATGATGATATCGATGATGATAGCTACATTGACACCATCAACAGACAGTTTGTATTTGGTGGTGATGATGATGAGGATGATGAGGAAGACGATAATAATAATAAGAACATCCTTTAATTTTCATTCCGAAACATACATTGTAATTATAAAGTTAGAATAATAAAATTTATAATGTAAATTAAATTAATTAATGTTAATTATATAGATATTCTACAATGCTCGCCGTGCATTTTAAATGGGCAGAAAGAGAAATAGAATCAGCATTGAGTTACGTTTAAATCGTGCTCCTATCTCAGTAAATTGCGTAAGATGGCGATACTACGGGATTAATTAAATTTCTATAATTATAATAATAATCATCATCATCATTATCATCGTCATCACCATAGAACTAATAGTCTCAACATGGAGGAGCTAAAAAATAAATTGAGATTGTCGTACGGACTGACTGAGTTATCGCTCATCAACCAAGGCCTGTGCAGCATCAAACTAATTTGTCATCTCAGTGTTCTCAAGAAATTAGATGGTTGGTCGATTGGTTGATTGGTTGGTTGATTGATTGATTGATTGATTGATTGATTGGTTGGTTGGCTGGCTGGTTGGTTGACTGGTTGGTTGGTTGATTGGTTGGCTGATTGGCTGGTTGGCTATTAGTTTATCTATTTGTTCTTTGACTAATTGTCGATTTTTTGATTAATGGATAGATAAATAGATGGATGGATGAATGGATGGATGGATGGATGGCTGGATGATGGATGGGTAAATAAATGAATGTATGAATGAATGAATGAATTTACCAATCAATCAATCAACCAACTGTTCAGTCAGCCACAACAAGATTGCAAACCTTGATGGATTGTACATGTTAAGCCAACTCTACGAGTTTTACGCCTCCAACAATTTGGTCACATCATTATCAGGAATCAAAGTGATGATGATGATGATGATGACGATGATGATGATGATGATGACGGGGATGATGATGATGGTGATGACAGTTGGGATTATAAGCGCGTGTCGCGCGAATTTAATGTTACAATTTTACTAACACATCATCGTCGTCCCCATCGTCATCATCATCATTAGCACGGAATGACGAAGATGAAGATGATGACGTTGCAAAACAATCAGCTGACGAACACGTACGGTGACGTCATGATCATCATCTGCAAGCTGCAAAATATCACCCATCTTGATATCAGCTGCAACTATTGGAGGAAGGTTTCGATAAAGATTGTTATGAATATCGCTATCATCATCATCATCGTTTTCATCATCATCATCGTTATCAGGCTCACAAAATGAAAGAAACGTTAACAAAGAAATTGAAATATCTCGTCGAGCTAGACAACCAGCCAGTCGTGAAAAACATTCCATCTGCTCAAACGACGGACCAATCAAATAACAACGTCCAAAGATCCAACAACCAATCAAAAAATGTTTCCTCATTTGCTGACCAATCACCGGCCACTACCGACAGTGGCGACCAATCGAATTCGAGCGCGGTGTTCGACGGCCAATCACATAGACGCATCTCTCTAGGTTGTGCAACTGAAAAACCGAGTAGGCTGAGTGTTGATGACGTGGCCTGTCAAATCGCCAACTGCTCTCACTCTACTTGTACGGTCGGTTGGCTGGCTGGCTGATTGGTTGGCTGATTGGTTGGCTGGCTGATTGGTTGATTGATTGGTTGGCTGGCTGGTTAACAGATTGATCAGTTGATTGATTGGTTGATTATTTTTACAATTGTTCAATTTATTTTCACCTGCTTATAATATCACATCACTGATTCATTTCATTCACTAAACAACCGATTGAACAACGTTTAAATCAACCAAATAATTTATTTACACAATTTTTTGACCAATCACATACCAGCGTAAAAACCATTCGACCAATCACATCACAGCAACTTTTCGACCAATCACATCACAGCAAACCAGCATAACCAGCGTATCTTATCGCAACAGCATCATCTTCAATCTCAACAATTTCAAACAATTCAAACACATCGTCTGGGCTAACTTCGACGGTAATAATCTCTTTACAATTCAGGTTAGGATTGTTGTTGTTGTTGTTGTTGTTTTTGTAGTAGTGTAGGGCTGGTATAATATTAAATTACAAAATTTAAAATTTTCAAATCAGGGCCTGGAGTCATGCAGGAACACTCTGCTCGAGCTCTCATTGGCTGACAACCATTTGAAGAGCGCCAATCAGATCGCTCTATTTACGAAACTTGAAAAGCTCTGCCTGGACGATAATTACATAAGCAATTTTTCTAACTCCACTTTCCAGCCAATCACAAACTTGAGTCACCTGTCAATCATAAACAATCAGGTCAAGCAATTAGCAGTATTTTCTTGCTTGTTAAATTTGATGGAGTTTTACGCAAGCAACAATGAGGTGGAAGATTTGAGGGAGGTCTTTCACCTGAAAGTGGGTGGAGTTATTTATGTTAATTAGTTTGGGGTAATGATGTCATTGCTCATCCGCCCTTTTATTCATTCATTTGTTCATCCGCTTGCTGGTTTTCAAGTTTGTTCGCCCGTTCGTGTTTTATTCACTAATACATTTATTAATCATTCATTCATTCGTTTATTTACTCATTCATTCATTCGTTTGTTTGTTCGTTCGTTCGTTCATTCATTCATTCATTCATTCAGAAGTTGCAGAAATTGTTAATTCTTGACCTGGAGAACAACCCATTGACGCGAACGAGCGAACAATATCGCATGTTCACCATCTACCACATACGAACCATCAAGATACTGGACAGCTGCTATATCGTCGGTCATGATGATGATGCTGTGGCCAACGATGATGATGATGACGACGATGATGATGATGATGACGACGATGATGATACTACTTTTGTCTATGATGATAACAACCACAACATCCCGCCATGTACGTCAAATAATACGAAACCGAAATTGCAGGAAAAACCCGAACTGTTGAAAGCGAAAGAAATTTACGGCGGCATGTTGACACGTGACTTCCTGATGGACCAATTAGATAGGATGAACGTTGAGGACGTCAGGACTCTGGATTTCCCCATCTCATCCATCCAATCCATCGATCTCGGCAACCCATCCCAGTTTAATAATCTCATTAGGTCAGTCAGCCGCATCATTCGTTCGTTTATTTGTTCGTTCGTTCATTCATTCGTTCGTTCGTTCGTTCGTTTATTTGTTCGTTCGTTCGTTCGTTTATTTGTTCGTTCGTTCGTTCGTTTATTTGTTCGTTCGTTCGTTCGTTTATTTGTTCGTTCGTTCGTTCATTGGTTCATTCATTCATCTAGCATTAACTTGGAGAACAACAATCTGACCTCTTTTTCTGGCCTCATTTACTTGAAAAGTCTTAAGGTAGAATTTTCGGGGGTTGGGGTTAGGGAGTCAGAATGAATGAATGGATGCATTAATGAATTGATGAATGAGGATTGAATGGATGCATGAATTAAATAATAAATATTCAATAATTTACTAAAAAACCAGCCAATCAACCAACCATCCAACCAACCAACCAACCAGACACTCTGCCTAAATAACAATCGCATAGAATGCGTTTTCGAAAAATCGAAATTCAAACAAAAGACCCTAAATAACATGGTGGTTTATAACAGCACCCCTTACGCGGTCGAGGTCATCCAGATGACCGTCCTTGACAGTTTGGAGGTCTTACATTTGGGGTGAGGTTGCTGATTGGTTGGGTGAATGTTTGGGTCATTTGTGATATTATTGTTTTAATTGTTAGTATGTTTTTTATTTGCTGATTGGATGGTTGGCTTGTTGGTTGGTTGGTTGATTGATTGATTGATTGGTCAATCTATTCACTCATCCATCCATACATACATTATCCATCTATCTTTTTTTTAATTCATTCATTCATTCATCTATCCACTCATTCACTCATTTACTCCGTTAGTTATAACGGCATAAAGGATTTGCAGAATCTGCAGTTGAACTTCATTCCCTCACTGAGGGCCCTGTTCCTCCAAGGTAACAATAAAAATAATAAGATTTATTTTTATTATTATTATTATTATTATTATTATGACGTCATGTAGGGAATGAGATTGCCCGCGTGGAGGGCTTGTACGGATGCCACAAGCTGGAAGAACTCGTTCTCGATAAGAACAGAATAAGGTCATAATGTTAACGATGCTTATTATTATTATTATTGTTGTTGTTGTTTTGCTATTACCTTGTCATCACCATCCAGTAAGCCAGAATCAATTCAGTTTGTGATTGATATCTTAGTTACGTGCCTTAAGAAAGTTGATGCCTGGATGTGTCGATGAATCGTCTCGAATTAAACCAATCAAAGACTCAGTTTCTTCCTATCGGCCCTTGGCAACAACTGTTCAGAATGAATATAAATTTAATTGATGTTAATGGAGGAAATATAAAATTTTGTGATGAAATGTCTAATCAGAGATGTGTTTTAGATTCAAGATTATCAATGAAGGATTATCTTAAAATGATTTCTTTCATCGTGTAGCAACCACCTGCAAAGGTTTTATCGGGTTCGCAAATCATTAGACAGGTCTACATTGCAAACTCTGATACATGCATTCATTTATTCTCGGTTGGACTATTGCAACAGCCTGTTGGAATAGTCAGTCTACCGGTGAAATCAGTTGTGATTCTTCAGTCTATTCAAAATAGAGCAGCTAGAACTGTTGTAGGTCCATAAAGTTTGATTATGCAACACCAATTTTAAATGATCTTCATTGGTTAAATGTTCAGAAAAAAGAATAATTTTTAAAATACGTTTCTCAATGTACAAAGCATCAAATGGATGACTTCCTCGGCATTTGATGGAGAAGTTTGACGGAAAATCAACTGTTTTGAAAGGCGTTCAATTGAGGTCTCGTGATCTAAATCTAATGGTTATTAATAGGACCCAATTGAATGTAGGAACAAGAAGCATATCTGTTGCTGGGCTGACTCTTTGGAATGCGCTGCCAAAGTCATTGGGGGAACCGGGATTGAGTGTTGATAGATTTTAAAAAAGTTTAAAAACAAACTTTTTTTGATTTAATTGTGTTTATTATTTTGTTGTTTCAGTAATTTTTTCCAGTGTGAACTTTTGAGAAACTTTCAAATTGGCGCTACATAAAATTTTCTGTAATAATAATTTTCTGTAAAAATAATTTTCTGTGATAATAATTTTCTGTGATAATAATTTTCTGTGATAATAATTTTCTGTAATAATAATTTTCTGTAATAATTTTCATCACCATTATCAGGTCTCTGGACGAATTGTCACTCGTGAATCAGCAGAGGACGATGAGAGAGCTACACGTCGAGGAAAATAGGTTGAGGAGTTTGAACAACTTCGGGAGGTTGTTCGCACTGCAGAGGCTCTTCTTGGGACTCAACCAACTCCAGGTCTGTTGCTACTGCTGCTCTTTTTGTATTCATGATTGCGATTACTATGATGGCGATTATGATAATTGTGATGATGATGATGATTGTGATGAAGATTGTGATGATGATTGTGATGATGATGTCAGGAGATAATGGAGATTGAAAAGTTAAGCACCTTAGTCAATCTCATCGAGATATCTCTGTCGCAAAATAATGTTAGTGTTCAATTTCTATCGTAAATTTTTAAACATTATCATTATCGTCATAACCAACAAATCAATCAACCAATCAATCATTCAACCAACCAATCAACCAGCCAACCAACCAACCAACCAACCATCCAACCAACCAGCTAGCGAAAAGAAACACACACAAACTTCTACTACTGCACAACTTGCAGAAACTTCAAATCATTGACGGAGTGCCAATCACGGAATCCGATAGGAGCAGAGCTGAATTATTTTACAACGAACAAGTTCAACAAGTGTGTGTGTGTGTACGTGTGTGCGCGCGCGCGTACTAATGAATTAATTATGTTAATTTAACCACCCAACAGTTTAACTCGCCGCTTATGAATATAAATGAGCAGAGCGCCCTTGCCTCTATCTACGTCAACCAATCAAACAGGCTTCTAAAAATAAACAACATGCAATTGGTCGAAAAGTCGCTGGGCGGGGTTAACGTGATGACGTCAGAGATGGTTGATTACAACAATCACGAATGATGGATGAATTGATGGATTGAAGGATGGATGAATGACAGAAAGAAGGAATGAACGAACAGGCTAAAGAAAGAAGTAATTCGTATCGTAGTGACTGAATAAGAAGCAACGAAAATAACTTTTTTTATTTCATATTTTCATCTAAATTCAATATAAATGGGTCAGTTTAATGTTAAGACGATTGCAATATAAAATAACGTCTGATCGATCAATCAATCAATCAATCAATCAATCAATCATTCATTCATTCATTCATTCGATCATTTAATTAATCAGTCAATCGCATAATTTTCAATTATTTTTTAAAATATAAGTTCATCGTTAAAATCACATTTTAAAATCAATTCACGATAGTCCCTGTATAAACATAAGGAGAGAATGGATAAATGAATGAGTGAATGAATGAGTGAATGAATGAGTGAATGAATGAATGAGTGTAAGAATGAACAATTAAGTAATTAAATGAAAGAAATATTCCTATTAATCAAAGGACAGATGTAACAAAAAAAACAGAAAGAAATTAATTAGCAAATGAACGAACGAATGGATGGAGGGATAAATGAATGGATGAATAATTCAATGTAAGAATGAATGAATGAATGAACGATAAACATCACAAATAAAAACCGATCTAAAACCACGATGAATGAACGAACGAACGAATCGGTAGATAAATGAATAAAAGAAACAAAAAGGCATGAACGAATGCATGGAAGACATAATTCAAGGTTGAATGAATGAATGAATTGTTAATGAATGAATGAAAGAAAGAAAGCAAAAATGAATAAACTATATATTTACACATACATATAAACTATCCAAAAATAGATGGAAATGTTAAATGAACTTTTATAAAAACGTTTCGCAATCTAAGAAACTATTTAAAAAAAACAGTTAACTAGCCAACCAATCATTCAATCAATCATTCATTCCTTCAATCATTCATTCATTCATTCAATCAATCATTCCTTTAATCATTCCTTCAATCAATCAACCAAAAGACATAAAATGTAATGTACGTACGTAGACTCATAAACGAAGGAGCTAACAGTTCTCATCCACTGATATGTCTGTCTACTGTTGAATTGTGCAGGGTAACATAATAATAATAATAATAATAAAAATAATAATAATAATAATAATAGCGATATATATATATACATATGCTTGATAAATGCGTTTTTGTCAAGTTAAAAAAATAATTATAATTATTATGAATTATTATTATTATTTATAGATGATAATAATATTAATACCAATCATTAATAGGGTTTATAATGAGGAATAATATGAATAAATAAGTTATAGAAGTACCATCACCATCATCATCAGTAAGATCATTATCCTCATCACAATTGTCATCATCATCATCATCATTTCCATTTCCACCGTAACCATCACTAGAGGTTAAAGGCCGTCGTTATCATCATCATCATCAACACTAAAGGTTAAAGGTCGTCATCATCACTAAAGGTTAAAGGTCAGTTAGAGGCTCTACCTAGTTTCATTGTTGTTTTCGTCGTTGTCAAACCATCATCATCATCATTCCAAATCATCATTATCATCATTCCAAATCATCATCATCATTCTAAACCATCATCATCATCATCACCACTACAATCATTTTTCAATCATTATCATCATTGTCATCATAATTTTCCGCCATCATTATCAGCCTCATCCGAGAATCCTGATTCGTTGCTTACGTCATCACTGGCGTCATCGTCCAATTTGTCGGCTATAATAAATAAATTATAGTTAAATTATTATAATTAAATTATTATTATTAAAAATAGTAGTAGTAGTAACGAACCAGATGGCGTGCTTCTCAAGGACATATTGACGTCAGGATTCAAACTGCGTGATCATTATCATAACCGTCATCATCATCATCATCATCGTCGTCGTTAACATCATCATCATCAACAACAACATCATCATCATCATCATCATCACCATTTCAACTCACCAAACGGACTCCGATACCAAGTCAATGTTATTATTATTATTATCATTATTATTATTGCTACCACAATCTTCGTTGTAATTATTTTTATTATTATTATTTTTATTATTATTATTATTACGATCATCATCATCATCATCATCATCGCCATCGTCGTCATCTTCAGCGTCTTCAGTTATTGAAGTCAGTTTGGGCGCTTTGTTCGACTGCTCGACTGGCAGTCTGTTTTAAGAATGGGATCAGTCGATGGATTGAAGGAGTGAATGAACGAATGAATGAATGCATGCATGAATGAATGAGTGAATGAATGAATAAATAAATGGAACGAACGAACGAACAAACGTAAAATTATCTTTCTTAAGAGGATAATTAGTCTAAGAGCCATCAAGAAAGAACAAACATATAAACGAATGAACAAAAAACAAGCAAACCAACAAGCGAACAAACGAACGGACGAACGAACGAACGAACGAACGGACGAACGAACCTAAAGTTATCTCCTTTTGAAAGATATTTGGTCCTGACAGGCTTAATGTTAGTGACGACGGGCAGAGCAGACGCGCACTGCTGGTTACTCGTCTGGATGACCAGGCGAGAGTTTTGCCGGCGAGTTTTTTCCCGCCTAAATTCTTGCAAAGCTGACGTCAGTCTGGATGAATGAAGGAATGAACGAACGAGTGAATGAATGAAAGAATGAATGAATGAATGAATGAATGAAAGAATTGACAAATGAATGATGGGTAAGGGTTAGACGTTTAACAGAAGAGGGCCAAGGATAGAACCCTGAGGTACCCCAACTGATTAACGAACAGTTGAGTCAATAGATGAATGATTGAGCGGATAAATGAACGAATAAATGAATGAACGAACGAATGAACGAACGAATAAATGAAAGAACGATAAACTGACTTAGCCTGTAATTGTGATTGAATTAGTTTCGCTTTCTCTTCCGACTTGCAGAGAACCGCGTGACATCTTAGTTCTACTTTCATTTTCTTACCTGATGATGATGATGATGATGACGGTGATGATAGTGATTACTATAATGATGACGATAGTGGTGATGGAAGTAATTATGATAACGATCGAGAAATTGTAAAAATTGTCAGAATTTTTCATGACAAAATCTACATCATCACCATCATAATCATCATCATCATCATCGTCATCACCATCATCATCGTCGTCATCGTGATCATCATCACAACCTTCATGTCTATAGACCCATATAAAGAGCTTAGGGTATTTAGGGAGGCACGTGCAGTAGGCTACTTTGTTCGACCGGTACTCAGTTAGGCCTTGCTCCTTCGTCTCAACCTGACGGTGATGATGATGATGATTATGGCGGTTTTGTGATGATGATAATCGTTGTGATGACGACGATGATGATGGTGATGGCTATGATGATGATGATGATCGTCGCAAAGATAATGCCAGTTTAATTCATCTTTATAGGCTAATTCAAAATCGTCTTTAACAAAATTATCCATAACATCATCACCAACATCATCATCATCATCATCGCTACTATCATCACCAACATCATCATCATCATTACCTTCAAACCGGAACCGCAAATCGTCAATTCCATCTGAAGAGTCGAGTTCTCATTGGCTTGAAAATTTTTCCACAATATATCAACCGGCCTATCAACGCAGCCCTCGCCTATGAATAAATTTGCATATTAACAAGCTAATTGAAAATGTGCATATTAAATAAGCCAATGAAAATTTGCATGTAAATTAGATCCATTCGTCCGTGAGATTGCGTCACGATTTGCTGGCTGGCTTAAGCATGATAATGAAAGTTTAAGTCATTTAATAGGGAGCGATGTATTTGTAATGATGGATGAATGAATGAATGAATAAATGAATGAATCAACCAACCAACCAACCAACCAGCCAACCAGACAACCAACCAACCAACCAGCCAACCAACCAACCCTTCATAAAGGCAGTCAGGACATTTCCAAGGTAGCGCACTTTATAGCACTGGTTCCTCTCCGATATGTTGCACGATTTCTGCCTGATCAACGAGTTCAACATGTTCGTCACTTTCACCTGAACAAGCGCCATCTTTGATGGGGCCGTTTTCGTTGGTGGTGATGATGATGAAATTGTCGGTGGTGGTGGTGATGATGATGCCGTAGTTGTGGGTGGTGTCGGTCTTGATGATGGTGATAACTTTCTATATCTTGTTTTCGACGGAGGTGATGATGACGTCTTCAATTGAGTTGCAGGCGCTGATGATGACGCTGATGATTTCGGCTGAAACTTCATTGTTAAATTGTTATCATTTGTGAGAAAATTTCAGTTGGTACGACAATAAATCTCTCAATTAATTAATTAATTAATTAATTTCTTAATTAGCTAATTATTTCATTCATTTATTTATTTCCTAGAGCAAAATGCGTAACGTCTCAAACTTCGTTCGCAAACGTCAGCTTCTATTTATACCGCAACACCGAAGGAACGAAACACATATACATATATGTAAATAGAGAAAGAGAGACAGGAAGAGAAAGATAGAGAGAGAAAGAGAGAAAGAGAGAGAGAGAGAGAGAGAGAGAGAGAACAAGAGATATGAATAAATATAAAGGTAGTATTAAAGAGCACTACAAAAACTCTTTTATAAAGAGAGAGAGAGAGAGAAAGAGAGCGAGCGACCATTTTTAGCCCAGCCTAAATAACGAATATGAGACATGGTTCGTTAATGGTGATGAAATATTCAAATCAATGTCTCAATTATTTCCCTCTCCTTTGTAATTTATTATTATTATCGTTAGCAGTAATAGTAATAGTAGTAGTAGTAGTAGTAGTAGCAGCAGTCGCAGTAGTAGTAGTGGTAGTAATAGCAGAAGCAGTAGTAGTAGTATAATTAATTACTAAATAATGGACCAGTTGATAGACAGACAGACAGTTTAAGGTGCAAAAGGTAAATTAAGAATTGAAATAATAATAATAACAACAACATTAATAATAATAATAATAATAATAGAATAATAATATAATAATAATAAAACAACAATAATAATGAAATGATTAAAAAGAATTGTAAATTAAGAGACATGAGAAAAGTTGTCCTGATGTGTGTTAAAAAGAAGAACCCAATTTAATATTTGATAATATTTAATAATATAATTAATAATTATATGGTATGTTGTTATTATTATTATTACTCTTATTATTATTATTAATATTAGTATTTAGTCAATGATTTAAAAGTTTAACAGCTTTAAAGTCAGAAATTAGTTTGTAAGCAATAAAATAGCAATCTTAAAATTAATTTATTTCAAGAGTTTTACTACTACAACAACTACTACTACTACTACTACCACCACCACTACTACTACTACTGCTACCACTACTACTACTAACACTACTACCACCACTATTACTACTACTACCACCACCACTACTACTACTACCACTACTACTACTACCACCACTACTACTACTACTACCACCACCACTACTACTACTACCTCCACTACTACTACTACTACCTCCACTACTACTACTACTACCACCACTACTACTACCTCCACTACTACTACTACCACTACTACTACTACTTCTACCACCACTACTACTACTACCACTACTACTACTACTACTACTACTGCTACCACTACTACTACTACTACTACTTTTACTATATATTTACCATGTCAAATAATAATTTAAAATGATAATTAAATATTATATAATGTGTAACATATAATTTTTGTATATACATGTATATATGCTAACTATATATATATATATATATACATATAGTTAGCATATATAAATATATGTATATAATATATATTTATGTATATATGTATATATATGCAATTTAATATATAAGCAATTTATAATGAAAATCAAAGCATGTTTCTAGTTTATCAACTTCCTGTTTAAATTTTTCAACTTTTCTAATGGTAGATCGGAAATCATTGTCAAATTTCTTGAGTTTAAAACGAAAATTTTAATTTCACTAACTGCCTGAACTAATAAAATGGGGTAGTAGTGCTAGAAACTTTTACCACCTAATAATAAAAGTACTACACTAACTATAGTATAAATAATTTACTATCATACTCTATGTCTATTATTTATCTACCTATGTATGTATTTGTTTTAGTAACTTATATAACATTTTCTTTCATATTAATTATTTCCAATAATATAATATAAAATAAAATAAAATTAGTACATAACATACTAACTATATAAATTAATTAATCATATAATATAATTTATACATTTTTTATTATAACTATATAAAAAAAACTTTATTTTATAAAAAGAGTAAAAGTAAAAAGGTGCTCTTGACTCTTGTTTACAAAAAAAACAATAAAAAAAACAACACACCGACATGAAAACTAACTAATAAACTTTTTTATATAATAAAAGGTTATTAGGTAGTATAACTGACAAGTATACAAGTATTATATACCTGATGTAGTTATATTGTTTTCGGTTGTATAACTTATTTGCGATCAGTAGGTACATATAAATAATAAATACACACACGTCTATAAATATTTATTTATTTTATGTAATTTAATTTAATTTAATTTAGACATTTTTTCGTTTATTTACGTAAGTTACTTTGGTACTTAATTAGCAAAAGTAAAACTCTCACCTGGATGGTGAGATAAATTACGAGGCGCTTGACTTTTTGTTTCTTATAATCAATAGATTGTAGATTGCATATAGATGCTGGTGAGATTTAACGCTGAATTTCCTTAATCAAATTATACCCAGTAAATTAAACTGGCCAAATGACTGTTATTATAAAATAGGAACACGGATTATTTTATCACATTTTTTCATTACTTTAATTTATTCAAAGGTTTTTTTGATCAATTCATTCATTTGAGTATAATTCAATTTTTAATAACTTGTTTTCTTAAATAAATATTTAAATCTCACTTTAAAACTTCAACAACGCACTAGAGGTTTTTAACGCCGGTACGCTGGCTTTCTCATCAAATTTCACGTCTAAAAAATTATTTATCAATATTTTTACTTCAAAAAATTCATTTTTTGATTTTATAGTTTTACTGAAAATGGCCCCAAAGCGCAAAAAGTTGTTTGAAAGCACGCCGGCTGTCAAAAAATCTAAGGTTGTTATTTTTTTTTAAATTTTTTAGTAAATTATGAATTTATTACTTTATTAATTTAATATTTAATTCTTCATTTTTATGTTTTATCTGTTACTATTTTATATTTTTTTAAATGTTTATGGTTAAATATTATATATAATATACTATATAATAAATATATATTATAATACACAATATCATACAAATCAGACAGCCATAACATCAAGAGCTGCTATCCCCAGCGTGGCTGATTTAAATTTTTCATCTGATTCAAAAACTGAAAATGGTGACATGTGGAATTTCAAAGTGGCCTCTTGGAATGTTAATGGAATCAGAGCCTGGGCAGAGGTCTGTTTGCCAAATTTAAAAAAAATTTATTGTTAGGCTGGGGTTTGAAAACACTATTAACATTAACTCAAGTAATCAGACCATACATGCTTAACTCAAAATCTTGTATTTGTTTAGTATAAGTTAATTATAGAAACAAATAAGCCTTTTAATTTTTTTTTTAATTAACTCAAATTCTTAAAAACTTTCAAATTGATTAATTCTAGATGAATACGTCACTAACACAAGCCAATTATTCGTGAATGTAATTAGGCGACCGGTAAATTTTTGCTTACCCCATAGAAAAATGGCCACTCATACATCCCGGCCGAAAACCCGGACATAATTTGCCTACAAGAGACAAAATGTGATGAAAAGAACATCCCTGAGAATGTAAAAATCAACGGCTACAACATGTTCTGGAATTCAGCGGACAAGGGTGGCTACTCGGGGACTGCCATATATTCTAAAGTTGAACCTATAAAAGTTACCAAGGGACTAGGTGTTGTTATTATTATTATAATAATAATAATTATATATATATATATATATATATATATATATATATATATATATAAATGCACATAATTGATTCCATATAAGGAATCAAGAAACATGACAATGAGGGTAGAGTTATTACGGCTGAATTTGAGAAATTCTACTTCGTAACTACCTGTTAGTATTTCTGGTTTTTATAAGAATAGTATTAATAATTGATGTTATTATTGTTAGTATTATTGTTATTGTCCCCAGATGTTCCTAACTCAGGGCAGGGTCTGGTTAGGTTAGATTATCGAGTCTCCGAGTGGGACGTTGATTTTCACGACTACCTGGTTGGACTGGAAAGGGAGAAGCCAGTTATCCTCTGCGGGGATCTTAATGTATCCTATCTTGATATTGGTTGGTTGGTCAGTCAGTTGGAGGGTTGATTGGCTGGTTGATTGGCTGGTCGATTGGTCAGTTGGATGATTGATTGATCAGTTGGATAGTTGGACAGATGTATGTTTGTATGTATGTATGAATGAATGAATGAATAAGTGAATGATTGATTTGATTAATGAATGAACGAATGAATCAATCAATGATAAGTGTTTGAATGATGGCTTACTGAATGAATGAAACCAGTTATACGAATGTATCATATCTATGCATCAGTCTGTCAACTAATTGATTAGGTGAATGAATAAATAGATGCACAAATGAATGAATGAATGAATGAATAATTTTCGCCACAACAGATATTGCCAATCCAAAATCAAACCAGAAGTCTGCAGGCTTCACAAAGGAGGAACGTGAAAGTTTTGGAAAGTTACTGAATAAATCCTTCGTCGATTCCTTCCGCCATTTGTACCCCACAAAAACAGGGATGTACTCGTACTGGTCGTACATGGGCAATGCCAGATCTAAAAATGTCGGATGGTCGGTTCAATGTCTTTCTAATTATGCAAATTTTTTCAACATTCCTCTTCTGTTTGATGCAAGTTCTTTTGATTTAACCAATCGTAAGTCATTTGGTTATCACTTAACCAATTAAAATTTAGAAGTCTGAATTTAACTTTCCAAACATTCAATTAATTTCATCCAGTTTACGATCTCAAATTCAAATATTTAAATTTTAAACCAATCACGAAACTTTATCCAATTTTATCCAATCATACTTCAAAAACTACAATTTCAAATTCCACCAATTAGGAGACTAGATTACTGCATGGTCAGTTCTTCACTGAAGCCGGCCATATGTGACAGCGTCATGAGGAAAGATGTGATGGGAAGCGATCACTGTCCAGTGGTTCTCTTTCTACATTTATAAATCCTCTGTGTGTGTGCGTACGTGTGTGCGTGCGTGTGTGCGTGCGTATACGCGTGTGTGTGTGTCTCTCCATAACTACTGAACCAGTAGCAAACAGATTTCATAACTCTAATGTCATTGTTTGTTTATAGGTTATTATCTAAAAATATAAGTGGAATTTTTTATACTTTGGCGTTACTTTATGATATTATTTTACCTATGAGTTAAATCTCTCTCTCTCTTTTTCTCTATCTTTCCTCTATTTTAAAGTTTCCCACGCATGACTTATTTGTGTTGCAATTGATAGAAATAGTATTTACGAGTCCTTATGTATATTTTAATCTTTATCTTAACTTTTATCTTAATTTATTTTTCTCTCTTTCTCTCTCTCTCTCTCTCTCTCTATATATATATATATATATATATATACAAATAAAATTTTGGTTTTGAACTCAAAAAACTTGAGAATGGTTTACGATCAACAGTTAGAAAAATCGAAAATCAAACATGAAGCTAGCTAGCGCTGAACATGCTGTGATTTTCATCTATAGTTGCATTTCTGACAATCTTTATCCAATATGTATATATATTATATATATATATATAATTATATATTTTTACAATATTCTATAAATACTTTTTTAACGAACTACAAACATATTAACGCCAAACATTCGGTAGAATTTATAGAATATTGTAAAAATTATGGTCTATTACCAACATAAAATTATATATATATATATATTTATGTATATGTGTATGTACGTACAATGTTTATTTCCAATAAAGTAAAACCACATTTTTCAATGAGCTTTTTTTTTAAATAAAATTTTAAAAAGTTATATAAATTAGTCTTCAAAAATGGTTGAAAAATTGCAAGAACGAAATGAAATAAATGGAAATGTCTGCAAGTTCTTTGGTATAATTATTAATTCTTTCACTAATCATAATCTCTGCTTCCCTCTTGAATTACGAAGGAAAAATTGGTTAAATCTTTGAGAAGACTGAATGAATTTTGATTTAACCAACCATTCAATCAATTATTTGGTCAGCCAAATTGCTTATTTCTCTAGGGCTCTCTACTCGACCTAACAACCATTCATTTATTCATTCACTTATTCAATCAACCAATCACAAACTTCCCACCCACTCAATCAAACAACCAACCAACCTTTGGTGTCCGGCTGGATTTGCTCCAAAGCGTCCAGTCTCTCCTCGAAGTCCCGTTTTATCGACCGGATTTTATCGTCAATCCTGAATATTTTCGGCGATCTCACCGATACAAATTCAACGTTATTCAATCCCGGAAGTAGGGTAGTTAAAAATGTCTTTGGTTCTTCCCGCCTTTTTAAAGCTTCCGGAATATTATTGTTGTTCGTGTTTGGGACTGTTTAGTTGATTTATGATTATTATTATTATTAATTAACTTGATTAATTTATTATTATTCAGTATCAATAATAATAATAACAATAATTACGACGACGACCAATCAGGTGTCGACCAGCCAGCCAATCAAATTAACGGACCTGAAGTCACGGGCATCCGTCTCCTGTGGTTCTTCTTCCAGAACCCGTCTTTCCTCGGCACATCATCATCAAAACTTAAATCATCGCCGGCATCATTATCATTACCTCTTTTCATTTTATTATTATTTATATTATTATTATTATTGTTGTTACTATCATAATTTACATTATTATTGTTGTTATTATTATTCATATTATTATTCTCATCATCGATCGAATAGGTTAAAATTTTTTGTTGTTGTGTTGATTGGATGGCTGGAGACGGGGCTTGGTTTGCTTGGACCAATGCCGCAACTTCTAGACGGTCAACGGAGCTCTCTGATTGGTGGAAAATTATTGATGGATTTATATGATTGGTTGATAATTATTCTATATATATATATATATATATATATATACAAATAAAAAAGCTCTCTGATTGGTAGAAAATAATTGATGGTTTTATATGATTGGTTACTAATTATAGATGAAAAAAAATTATATGCTTTGAATGGAAAGTATTGTAATAAATCAATCAACCAGCCATCTAAGCAACCAGTCAACCAACCAGCCAACCAACCAACCAGCCAGCCAACCAACCAGCCAACCAACCAACCAGCCAACCAACCAACCAGCCAACCAACCAACCAGCCAGCCAACCTTCATCTCGACTACTCCTAAACAAGACATCATTCTTTTTTGCAGGTATATTAGCGGCTAACGTAATTCGAACGCACACCAAAACAACTATAATTACAAAAAGAATTATGAATAATAATTATCAATAAATAATTAAACAAACACACACACGCGCACACTAATATGTATATATGCCTAATTAAAAGATGAGTAAGGAAAATGCGAACTGCTATTTATAAATCATTCTCCGTCACAAAAACAAATTATAACCAATAACAATAATAATTAAAAAAATAATAAATTAAAATAATAAATTACAATAATAATAACAATAAGAATAAAGATAACAATAATAATTAACTAACGAATAATGATAACAGTAATAATAATTAACTAACAAGAGACGATCATTGTATAAAAATCCCGTCAACTGCTATCAATGGATTTGTAATTTTTTTAAAGAATAATAACAATAATATTTATAATAATAATAATAATAACAAATTTTATTATTATTATTAATGACGTCATGGAATTTATCAAAAAGACAACAAAAGAAGAATTTCAAAAAAAAACAATGATGCTATAAAACTAAAATGTTTAAAAATCATTCATTTGTTTTTCTTTTTACATTCATTCGTTCTTCTATTTATCTGTTTATTTGATCATTCATTTATTCACTCACTCACTCCTTCATTCATTCACTCATTCATTCAAAGCAATATTCATTCATCTATTCGTTCATTCATTCGTTCGTTTGTTTGTTCATAAATTTGTTCATTCGCTAATTCATTAGTTTACTCTTATCACATTCATTCATTCATTCGTTCATTCATTCATTCATTCACTCACTCAAAGATCCATATATACAGAATATATTAATATTGTATGTTAGTGAAATACATAAAAGCCCTGACCCATAGCTGCCAAAGTTGTCAATGTATGCGGAACTGAAAACATAAAATTATGACAAAAAATATGCGAATTTTAAAATCAAAACATGAATATTAACATAAATCATCATCGTCATCATCATCATCGTCATTATCATCGTTATCGTCATCATCATCATCATCGTCTTTTCATTAGAAAAACATACATACATGCATATGCAGCACATTTATACAGGCATAACAAAGTAATCAAAATAACAAAAACAAAACAAAAACAAAAAACAACAATCATCATCAACATATCATCATCATCAACATATCATCATCATCAACATATCATCACATTCATCATCACATCACCATCATCAACATATCATCATCATCACATCATCATCATCAAGGTTGTTGATGATGATGGCGGAAGAATGATGACGAAGTTGGTGACAGACATTGGCCTTCGATTATGCACTGGACCAGCCATTCAGTCGTAACCACTGGACCTGATTGGATAATAATAACAATAATAAAAACAATAATAATAACAATAATAATAATAATAATAGTAATAATAATAATAATAATAATAATGGGAACAATCTTTTATTCGGCAATAAAAACAATGAAAATGAAATAAAATAAAATGTCAAATGCAATAAATTGAGAATTAATCTGAGAAGCTCATCATTCGAATCGGGAGAGCACGATTCGAATGATGAGCTTCTAATAATAATAATAATAATAATAATAATAATAATAATAATAACTATCTTCATCATCATAGTAACTGTCCTTCCTCAACAGCAATATATACTGATTTGGAACATTTAAATCTTTATCGTCAGGACCCTCAACCACCATTTTCATAATCGTCGTCGTCACAACTAACAGGCGAATTTTTTCGAAATCAGCGCTATATCATTGTACAGGCCATCACTGGTGGCGATGATATGAGTGGGTGTCTTTATGATCTTTTTCCTCATCGATGGAGGAGTTAGCAGATCGAAGAGTTTTTCTTCATGGCGTTTTTTAAATTTTTTCTCTGTGTATGTGTGTGTTTGTACGCGCGTGTGTGTGTGTACGTGTGTGTGTGTGTGTGTGTGTGTGTGTGTGGTGTGTGTCTATAACCACCATTATCACAATCATTCATGTTCATCGCAATGATCATCATTGCCTTGAAAATGATGATAATTCATTTTGGACAAGAGTACGACAAGAGTTTATCAGACGAGATCTTCATCATCATCATCATCATCATCCCCACCAACATCATCATCAACATCATCACCATCATCACCACCACAATTATCACCACCATCATCATCATTATCATCATCATCATCATCGCCATCGTCCTCATACCTATATTTTTGTCATTAGCAACAAAGAACTGACAACCAATAGCTTTCAGGATGGTACACCACAATTTTCTATCATCATCATCATCGTCGTCATCGTCATTGTCGTCATCATCGCCACTACCATCACCACCATTTTTAGATGGATAGCATAGAACTATATATAGATCTTTTAACGGTGATGAAGATGATGATGATGATGGAGAGAGTCTGGCTGCCTGGTCGCTGTTGAATGAGTGGAAGGATGATAATGGTGGTTGTGGCGATGGTGGTTGTAGCGATGGTGGTGGTGGCAAAGACGCTGATGATAAGAGCAGAGATGATAAGGACGACGATGATGGTGATGAAGATATGACATAAGTCGGAACAATAAAATAAATAGTAAATAATCAACACAATCATTTTCATCATCATCACCACCATCATCTTCATCATCACCACCACCACCATCTTCAACACCACCACCATCATCACCATCATCTTCATCCTCATCATCACCATCATCTTCATCACCACCACCACCATCATCACCATCGTCACCACCATATCATGGTCTCCCTGCTAATACTGTATCCAACTGGCAGCAGGTAGGAATGATGGTCCATCAACTTTCCCTGGAGATCGATCGATCAATCAACTCATTCGTTCATTCATTCATTCATTCATTCATTCATTCATTCATTCATTCATTCATTCATTCATTCATTCATTCATTCCTTCATTCATTCACACAACCAACCAACCATCTGGCATGAGTCAATCAGCCAGTCGTGAAGAACGCATGGGAGTGCGAGGGCGATGCAGCAGATGAACTCCATAGTCCTCTGAGTGGAGTCTGATATCAGGAAGAACCTCTCCTTGCACTCCTTTATCTGAACAAAAGAGTGAATGAATGAATGAATGAATGAATGAATGAATGAATGAATGAATGATTGAAGGTATGAATAAATGAATGAATGATGAATGAATGAATGAATGAATGAATGAATGAACGAAGGATACCAGAGCTAACTAATTAAATATTTACCTCTGATTGTCTTATGGATAAACGAATGAAAGAACGAATGAACGAACGAGTGAATGAACAGATCATCCTCATCATCATCATCACCATCATTACCACCACCATCATCATCATCATCATCATCACCTCATCCAGTTTAAACTCCGTATGAAGTATCCCATTCCCCATAGTTATCAATCGGCCTATGTGCTCTCTATCTAGGACACCTGGAAAAAGATGGTGGTGATGATGATGATGGTGGTGATGATGATGATGATGATGGCGCTGATGATGATTATGGTGATGATGGGAGTGGTGGTTGTGATGATGATGGAAATTATGGTCTTGATCGTAATAACATTCATCTATAATTATTGATTAAATTATAATACATCCGCATTCATCATAACCACCACCAACATCATCATCATCATCACCACCACCATCATCATCATCATAATCATCATCACCATCATCATCATAGTCATAACCACCATCATCATCACCACCGACTAACCACATCTCGTGGTGGAGCCCTCTAATAGTTCTTTGGTGGTGTCGTCTAAACTTTCTATGGTCCGACTCTCCCATTCCAGTTGCGCTTTCGTCTTCCTGACGCTCGAGATGACGAAATGGAGACCGCTGAACAAATTCGGCGGGATGTTCCCGGCGGTTATATTTAGATTCAGGGCTGTGTGGTGTTAGTTTATCATTATTATCATTATAAAAAAACACACACAGACACACACACACATGCACGTACAGCTAGACACACACATACAATTATATACACACACACACACACACGCACACACACACACACACACCTCTTTTGACTCTTTTCCCAAAACTCTTTGGCGTCCTGATTATAGGGCATAGTCCCACGGACCTAACAATAATAACAACAACAACAACAATAATAATAATAATAATAACAACAACAACAACAACAACAATAACAAAAATAATAATAATAAAAATAATAATAATAAATAATAATAATAAAACTGTTTCACTTTTTCGTGCTACTGTTGTTCTTCGAGGTTCTCTTGCTTCGGCAGCCGACGACTTCTTGACTCCAAAACAAGTGGGATGATGACGACGACGATGAGGATGTTCCTGATAGCGATGACGATGATGATAATGATGATGTGGGTTATGATAATGATGATGTGGGTTATGATAATGATGATGTGGGTTATGATAATGATGATGTGGGTTATGATAATGATGATGTGGGTTATGA